ATAGCAATATGTTGATTTAATACTCGCATGTTTATTGTCACATTTTTGCATGCATGTAGTACGTGACGCGCCTATTTCTATCAGAAATTATACTAGAGGACAGATTATGTTAAATTTATTTTTCAATTGGAGAGGAAATGATCAAAACTTGAATATTGGTCAAACTAATTGTGAAATTCCTCACTTTCAATTTCTGAAATTCAAAGATTTTATCGAATTGGAAAAATTTGGAGAAGTGAAGAAGATTTCGAAACAGCTTGCACTGGCGTCACAAGTACTGGAGGAATTGAATCTACCTACTCAGGATTCTGTGATTACCCAACCCATCGATTGAAAATTGGAGACTATTTTCATGATTACATTGATGGAACGGAGATGATTATCAATGTTTCTTTAAGAAAAAAATTTATTGAGGAACATGTACATCGAATCCAGTTGGGATTCTAACTAGTTGGATTTGATTTTTTCATGGCTGTTAGTTTGGTAGTTCTTTTGATTGACCAGAAACAAAATTTCATGCGAGTCATTGAAATCCTTTATTCAAGATCTAATTTTCAAGGCTGATCTTAGACAAGATTGTGATTTTAAATTTTCTGATCATAAATAATTTAAATCCCTAGACAAAGCCGCCAGAGCCCACATAGTGGCACCGGATCCAGTCGCTCTTTTTTCAATCCAAAACAAAACCCCTTTATTATTCGACAACTTTTTTCTGTCCACTCAACTCTCCAACATCTCATTCAAGCATAAGAAGGATGTTCCGAGCAAATTCAATGGAAATTGATCATCATTCATGAAGCCATACAATCTGATCAAGTTTTATGGCTCCTAGTGTCTGAATTCCATGAAATGGGAATTCGTGCACTAAATTTTAAGGTGCCAAAGTCTATATCCTCCTGTTGAACTTGACTCAACCTCACATTTGGTGTCCTTAAATTGTTGTGTAAAAAATTCCCGCCGTGGTGAGAGAAAAGTTACTGCTGAGGATATTCCGAATTGTGGAATTAAGGTGGCTTCTGTTCGTACGACGTTGATCCTTGAGACTGCTCCGTGCCGCTGGTGCAAAGTCTAATAAATATCAAATTTTTTTTCGATAGGAGACCGGAATTGAACCCTCCACCATTTGTTGCCTTAGACTTGGCAACTTGAGGATAAAAAATATGCCTGCAATACAACTTCACATCCTCCTAGAGAGAGGAATCTCTGGGAAGACAAAAGTTAAAGCCTTCGCTGACGCTTTTGGTGTAACCGGAAACATAAGACGCATTGCTCACGACTGTTGTGTAGTGAGAATGGAAGCAACTAAAAAAGCGGTGATTATAGAGTGTTTGGGAGCTTTGGCCCATGAGCTAATGGAAATATCGCCCTCTTTTGAATACAACGTCCAGTCCCTCAAATTTTTGGGAAGAAAGCAGTGTACCAAGTTTGAAATTATGGTAGACCAAGAATGGAAAAAGAAATATGATGTACTTTCGTCGGATGAGATAATGTCCAACGTAACCACTATCAAGAAGGAACAGTTATACAGAAATGTCATCCTTGTGAAAATGTTGGAAGAGGCGATGTTGGATGTATCTGAGAGCGATCTATCCGAAAATGATGATTCAGTGGCTTCATCATTAGCCCCACTTAAACTCAAGTACTCGATATTTGACAACTCTGACAAGTATCTTGTTGAGGTGAACATGCCTGGAGTTCCTGCTGACAAGATTTTGGTGGAATTTTCTTCAGGTAAATTAACTGTCCAGACTACACAAGTCAAAACCCCACACGATGGGATGAGGCCAGTTCAAGAAGGTTTCAGATATGGTGGATACACACGTACAGAAATTCAATTACCACATGGCACTAAACTGGTAAAAGAAGCTCCGTTGGATAAAGGAATTCTATTTTTGAGCGTTTTAAAGAGAAAGAAACAAAAACAGACAGCACTTGTGTTCATTCCAAAGGAAAATACAGACAATTAGTTTGATTAAACACTCTCACAATAACATCCATCGAAATACTTCTGACAGACAAATCCTTTTTTAAAGTATAATGTACAGAGGTGAAAAGGTTCACGTGGAGAGATGACGATTGTGTGCATCGATCATATCTCTGTCATGGAAAAGACGATGAGGGAAGCTAATAAGAATTGTCATGTAAGTATAAAGAAACCAAAGAAATTCAGTTCCTAAAATGTTGTATAGAGTTCAATCTTATTTGTCACGATAATGGTGAACACATAACAAGCTTCACGCGCAAACGTCAAAAGTGATGACCTCATGCTACGATCTGAAGCACTGAAAGATTCTCTTTTTACTATGATGTTATTTGAGCTTACATATAAAAAATACAGCCAAAAACAAAACCTTAGAGGTCATTTAAATTTTCAATGGTTATCGGAGCTTGTGGATGGCTTGAGGCAAGTGGGAATGAGAAGACTTTGCTGTAAAAGTAAAACTCTCCATCAATGGCTTTCTTAATATTCTCTGCTTTTCTGAATCCGTGTTGCTCACCTTCGAATAATGTGTAACTGACAGGAATTCCTTTTTCCTTGACAGCCTTGTACATCATTTCACTTTGATTGGGTGGAACAATTTTATCCTCATCACCTGATGTTCAAATAATCAAGTATAGGTTAAAAACGCAAAATAATAAACATAAGAGATGAAACAAGGATAGGACTATCTTTTGAAATCTAATCTTTTGACACTTACCTTGGAAAATGGCAAGAGGAACTTTCAAACGATCGACATGAGTGATTGGAGACCTCTCAATATACAGATGTTTCTTCTTTGGATACTCTCCAATCAAATTGTCTAAATATCTTGCTTCAAATTTATGAGTTTCTTTTGCCAATGCTTCCAAATCAGCAACTCCATAATGCGATGCTCCTGCTTTGAACACTTGTTTCTGTGTGAGACAGGCGAGCACTGTGTACCCTCCAGCACTTCCACCACTGATACAAAGCTTATTGGCATCTGCTAGACCCTTTTTCACTAAATACTCAACACTCGCACATGCATCCTCAATGTCTGCAATTCCCCAATTGTTGTGAAGTCTAAATCGATATTCACGACCATAACCTGTGCTACCCGAGTAGTCAACATCCAACACACCAAAGCCACGACTAGTGAAATATTGAATCTTGAAATTGAGAGCAAGAAGAACACTCGATGTAGGTCCACCATGAATGAACACAATACATGGAGGCTTTTCGTTTTCTGGAGCCATGAAACGACCATTCTTTGGAGGATAAAAGTAAGCAAAGGCAGTTCTATTGCCTGTAGTTGGAAATTCAATTCGCTCAGGAATGGACAAGAAGTCATGTGAAATTTCAAGTTTGGAAGATTCCTTAATCACATGAACTTTCATTCCCTCCATATCCAAATAACACATGGCTGTTGGTAAGGATGGAGAAAAACCAATGAAAAATACTTTTTTGTGATCCGCAGATAATTTCAATGATCGAAAACCTGTATAGTTGGTACTCACACTTTGCCAATGATTATTCTTCACGACAAAGAGTTTACCATCAAAGGCACAAACCCAGTGAGAGTTGTCAATGATCACATACGAACTGTACCAAATGTCCAAAGTGGACCTCCAATTTCAACCTTTGAAGTGTGTGACATTAAATTCTCAACTCTTCCACTTTCCAAGTGATATCTTTGTAATGTCCAATATGTTGTTGGATAATCACTAATGAAATATATATATTTTCCATCAGGAGAAAAACATGGTTGTGAACAACTTTCATTATTTTCTTGAGTAATTCGTTTTCGTGTGGTTTCAATTGGTTTTCCTGCTTCATCCAATGCCACCACAAAGACACTGCTATTATCCCATTGCATGTTTGGATGATTCCAAGCAAGGTAACACAAATGTGAACCATCTTGGGATAAACGTGGAAAGGCATAGAAATCCATTCCTTGAGCAAGAATAATTTCAGCATGATCATCATCACCACTACTCACCACACCCGAAGAAGAGGAAACATCCAACAAGGAAACAATCAAATTTTGTGGTTCACGAAGAGCGACAGAGTCGTCGGAATGATCCTCACGAACCAACACGAGACGAGAACGTTTTTCATCATAGACTCCATCGGCATGTCTGGTATTGGGTTTACACGGAATCACTTTCTGTGGAACGTTTGGTTCATGAAGGCTGATCGAACCAAGACATGTCTTCATCAATGATTGATCTTTAAAGTTGGTGAAAAAGACTTGAGATTTGGAGTTGATCAAGGAAGCAGCACCTCCGTATTCATGTACACGAGTACGAGCAGAGAAGAATCCCAATGGACTGTCATGGGGAGGCAGTACATCTTTGCTCTCGCACTGGCCTGCTTGTTGTGGATCAAGATTACAATAAACAAGAGCACAACGGCCACTTTCTTGTGGTCTAGACTCTGTCCATAACAATACATTGGGATCTGTGGGATGGGCCAATGGATCGGAAAATCCAATACCAGAACTCACAATAAAATCAGAAGAGATTGGAGACTCCCAAGAACCATAGGGTGCCACTTGTGGTTGATTTGACATTTTTTGTGGAACTCCAAGCTTGCTGGAAGTAGATTCAATTATTCAACATACGTGTGAAATGAGATTGCAGTTTGGATAAAAAAGGGAGGACAATGTTTGTGCAAGCAACACCGGTGTTTACAAACTCAAAATACCGCTCTTGACAGCATGTACAAACTCATTAAAATCAATAATACCATTATGATCAGTGTCAACCTTGTCAAAAACAGTCTTTGTGTCTTGAATTAATTCTTCTTCGGTAAGGATTGCTTTGTTCATACCTTCCATGGCTGCACTTCGTCGCATTTGTAATAATTCTTCAAATGTAATCATATTATCATGATTTAAATCGTACACAGAAAATAATTGGTGCAGCATAACTTTCTCTCTATCTGTAAGTGTTGCAGCTGCATTCTTTGAAATTTCATTATTTACAACAACAATTCCGACCACAAATTCTCTAAAATCAATTTTACCAGAGTTATCAATGTCAAATAGCTGATAGTTGTTTTCAATTAATAATCGATCCCTAATATTTAAAATGGTCATCATTCCTTCGACAAACTGTTCTTTTGAGAGTAATCCTGTATTCTTGTCACAAATGCTGGTAAAATATTCTAATAACTTTTCCAACATTTCGTCTGACATTTGAGCATTAAGGTTATTACAGGTTGCCAATAACTGCTGGAATGTTCTATATTTCAGCTCTTTTTCTTCGTTTTCCAAGTCAACGAGTGATTTGGATGAAATGGTTAGAGTTTTGTAATACAAGTCATCCGTTACTTTGGATTGGTCATGTGTAATCATGGAGTTCAAGACACGGGTGAGTTGTAAGACCCTTTCCTTTTGTTTGGAATACTGTTGATCATATGAAAAATCATGTTAACACTTGCTTTTCAAAAGAATTGTACAAACAACTTACCAAAGTCTTGTATGCTTCAAGTATTGGATTTGTTTGTAGTTCAACTTGGGCATAGGATTGCTGTAAAATTTGTTCAATAAGTATTTGAACCTTTTGCGATATTTCTCTCAAAAACACGTTACCACTGATCTTGTCACAAATCGTCTTGATGTAAACTAGCAAAACTCTTACATATTCTTCCAAAGAACGTTGTTGTTGGTCAGAATACTTCCAATTATTAATGGATTCTCGAAGAGGAGACTGTACAATTCCCTTCAAAAGAGTGCCAATATCAGTAATGTCTTCGAAAGTGAATTTCGATAAGCATTTAGTCTGATAAATAGCAATTTGATTCGCGTTAACAGCCGTATACAAGGAGCTACCATTTTCAATATTAGCCAACAATTCACCATTGTGATTGTGAATTATGGATAGTAAGCAGTGAACGGTATGATAAATAAGCTCAAAGTTATAGGCATTTAAACTATTGGAAGTGGAACCACCTGTTGAGCTTGAAGCTTTGTTGTTATTGTAAAACTTTTCTAATACGTCATCTTTTGGAGTATAGTAATGATTGAGACAGTATCTAATGAGTGAATGAATGAAATTGTATCCGTCTAAGTACTTCAAAAGCATGGTCATTGGCATGTGTTTGCAAATATGTCTCAAGCATCTAATAATCTTGTCATTAAATTCAGTATCCTTCTCCAATTCTGCAATAAGATCACTGATTAAATTCAAACTTTCCAGTCTCATAATGCTAAATGGATAAGTCTTTACAATATCAGTAATGCAGAGCATGACATAATATCTCACCATGTTGCTGTTGGTTGTCGTAAAAACTTTTTTGAATGTCTCAAGAAGTTGACACTTTTCCACCAGAACGTAGACATTAAACTTGTCTTGAATTAGCTTTGAAATCACAATTGAAAGGACACTCTCAGCCACGTATTCGTTCTTATCATTCAGAAGATCTACAAACTTCTTAAACAAGTCATCTTGTCGAACACCATCCAAAACCCCTATAAGAGCATGTAGAATATAAACTAATGTATCCTGATCTTCAAATTGTACACGCCAATGGAACAATAATTGTGAAAGTAAATTTAGAGCTATGAATGTAGATTCAGTATTGGGTTTCACAGTACTAGATTGCGTATGGGTTAGATCTCCCATCAAAATGGCGAGAGAAAATGTTATAATTTTCAACAGTCCAATTTTGTATTTGGAAAGAACTCCACCCAATGTCTTTAAAAGATCTGGAAGAAGGCCATTGATTTCGTAAATCTTATCTCTGCATTCCTTGTTGAAACTTGCAAATCGAGCGATCAGAGAAATGGATTGCTTTGAAATTTCCATAGGAGTCATTGGTTGCTTCAAAATATGACTATACACCTTGTTCAAAATATCATACTCTGCAATCAACTTTTTGAAATACATGTTTTGCAAATGGTATTTGTGACTCTGATCGAGATTGGCAATTCTTGGTCCGTTACAAATGCAATTTAAAATATAGAGTACTTGATGTTGAATATCATATAGCTTGTAGTAAATAGACATGTCTAATAATAAGTTAAAAACGCTAAAGCATTCGTCAAAAATATGTTGGTATGTATCAAGAATCATGTCACTGATTTCAATCCTGTCATATGGAGTAGAGTAGTGAATCACGAACAAATCACAGAACACAATGCATTGAGCAAGAACGTTCTTGATTTGATTGTACGCAACGTCCAATTGTTGTTTTGACATGGCAACTTCAGCAAGAACATTACTATGTTGAATGTTTTTTGAATGCAAATCAATGATAAAAGGAAGTTTTGGAAATTCCAACAATTGAGATTTGAGTCCATTGAGAGAAATTGATTGAGCTTTCACTAAATGTTCGTCTTGGGAACCGATTCCTGTTCCTGAGGAATGCAACGAATCTCGATAGTGATGATCATGTATACCTTTTCGTCTATATAATGAGGATGACATTTGTGGTGATGTTGGAGAATTCATTGCTGGATCTCTCACTCGGAATTGCAAGAAAAACTTTTGGACCTGTTATTCGTGAGAGTGGTTGTATGCAAATCATGATGATTCATGCCATCATCATTATTCAAGTGAATTATTTTGATGTTGAATATTCAATCATTCCAAAATTAATTTTGCCAAGTGGGAGGCACCTACCTTGTCATGAACTTGTTCTCTCTCAACAGAATAGTCGCGTTGTTTTCTCTTTTTCAACTCGGAGTTGTCATTCATTCCTCTCCCATCACTGCTGCCACTTCGTTGATGAGAGATGGAACTACCACGTCCACCCGATGTTGATTTATCTTCATCCATCCACTTCTCCATGGCATGTTTAAACTCTTCCCATTCCACTTGCCCATCTCCATTTTCATCAAGTAATTTCATCAATTGAAAGACTTCTTGATCCGAAGGAGGCTGTACGAAGATATTTGTTGAACGATGTTTGAGTTGAGCAAGTAAATGTTTCACTTCATTGACATCTAATGAATTATTACCGTCCGTGTCTGCGAGCATGAACGCTCTTCGTAATTCTGATTCTTGAATTTCGTTTAACTGTGTTGTGTTGTCGATGATTGTGAACACAAAAAGTTCCACGACTGAAATACTTACTGGCATTTTTCTTGAGAGATTTAAACTTGTGTGGGCTGTTGCTGCGACTGTTGCTCTTGTCTTTAATGATTATGTATCAGATATGACAGCGTAGAACTTCAGTTTCTAACGACTGTGAAGAATAACAGGTTTTACCAACGCCAACCATCATTCGAATTAGGTTTGTAAACAAGCAGCATTCGAATTACTTGAAAAGTCACGGTTTCAACTCACGGGACTGTCATTCGCAAGAGAAAAAAGAAAATACCAATGACACATATTCAATTGATCAACAAGAAAAGCAGATACCAAATAGTAATGCCAGTGAACGTGGAGTTTGTAACAGGTAATAAACATTATATCGTTGCCATTTCAAACGAGCTGGACATTCGAAAGAAGCACCAACTCAAGATTGAAGATGAAGACACCAAAGAGATTATTTTCCATGTTGAATACAAAATAGAGGATGTTTCATCGCCTGGCGTTCTCGTAAAATCCATGGAAACCATCATAAATTCGAACAAGGTCAAGATCGAGTGCAAGTTTGAAGAATCTTGCTTCTCATTCAAAATATGGGACCTACAGAGAACATTTGAACTTGAACAAAAGCATTTTGGTTGGGAAACTAACTCCTCATCGTCCGTACTGTAGTGTTAGAGTCTTCGGTATTGAAAATACAAAACTTGAATAAAAAATTATTCAAAAACAACATGAGAGATCTGTGGGTCAATGATAAAAAACCTTTGATTGAGGTGGACTACGAAGAGCTGGTTCGGAAGAGGACTCAACCAACGGTGGTATTACAAACGCAGGTTGCGTTGAAAAATGTATTTGATGGGTTGTTGTTGAGGAGACGGGAAGAGCAAGAGAGCGAAGAGGAATTAAAATTTACTCGAATGATTGGTATTTTGAGGTAACTATTGTACATTCATCATACATTCCATTGTAATTCCAGTGGAATAGAATTGATTTCGAAAAACCAGCTCATCAACGATATTACCGCTTATTGCAAGAAGCATACGCTATTATCAGGCGAGAATTTTCTAGTCGGGCTTTGAGCATTATTGAAGTTCCAGCTGATTACGTGAAGCTTCTACGAGAGCCTTTCCAATGCAAAGAAACTAAGAGCCCATTCTATCAAGTACTTTCTTCGGGTCCGAATGTTAAGCTATTGATCGATATTTTAAAGAATATTGGGTTTGAGGATAAGGATGAAGACGAGCCGTCATTGATATTGTTACATTGCTGGAAAGCTAATGCTAAGGAACACATTGTATCATGTAGAGGCCCTCGTCTTGAAGAATTGGAGGCCCTAGATTGTCTTCAAAATGCAAATTCTCAAACCATGATAGGTCCGGTACTAAGCATGTTCCAAGAATGGAGAACTGTCCTTGGAGATCGTGTAGAAAGTAAAAAAATTGAAGGAACCATAGAGGATCAGACGGAACATAACATCAAAATGCTATTCAAAACACCAACACTCGTTACACGAGACAAAAAGGAATATGACACATTGGAGATTTTGCAAAATAAGCCAATCATTGGTTTAGTTTTTGCGCCGTCATGGTGTGTTGGTGTCAAACTTCAAAAACAGCAAGAATACATTGAGAAAGTTGTTAACTTTCACTATGAAACAAAACAGACATATGGCTTGGATTCTTTTGAGATGATAATGGTGGATGGCGAGCAAAACGAGGGTCGCTTGTATGACTACATGAAAAAGAAGCAAATTGGCTTTCTAGCTGTGCCATTTAAAAGTGTCAAGGCAAAACTGTCTCTTTCAAACATTTTCAACCCAAAAAATTCTGTCCCTAGAACCTACATTGTAAATCTAAGAAAAGGAATAGTTCTGGATGAATTTATACATCAACATAACGTGGATATATTGGAAGACTGTTCTATTTATATGGAATGGTTAAAGGACTTACAAGGTTTCTAAAGACGTCATGTATAAATCCATTGTCCTGATTCAAAATCCAGCTGTGTTTCCAAGGATTAATTTTTCGCCAGTTTGTAATAATTTGTGAATGCTTCACATCCATCTCTAATTCGTTGATGACATCCTTCATCTGTGATTACTTGAAATTCAGAAGGTAAACTTTTGAGAGCCCATTCATAAACAAAGTTTGGAATGTATCCATTCATATTTGTTTGCGTGACACAATAAAATTCACACCTCTTTTCGAAATGTTCATGATTGAGTTGCATTGCTTGTTGATACCTACCTTGTCGTCAATTGGTACAATTTTCATTCCTAAATATAAAATATTTCCTCTTATATAAGAACTTGGTGATTCTTTTGGAAATTCATTGACCGACTTGCCAATCATTAAATATGAATTTGTTTTTTCGTCATACTTTTCGGCATTGATGGTGACAAAGTCTCTCGAGCTCACTATCAAGTTTCCTTTCTTTACAATATATTCTATATTCCAATGATTCAACAATAAAACACATATTGTAAGATCACGTACCCACTACTTGATTTTGAGGCTACGAGTCAAAATGTATTTGTCAGCAGTAATTTTAAAACGAATGGTTTGCTTACCTTTCCTTCCACATTAAAAATTGCTAAAATTTCTCTAAAGAAGATTCATTAATAATTAAACAATCGTTCACTCACCTTCCACCATCTCTTTTATCCCATAAATGCCGTCTTTCATAATCTTTCAATAAATCATAAAATATTTGAACTGGATGGTTCACAACCATTCTGAAAAGTTTTTCAGAATTATTAATTCATTGAAAGCGAAAATGACATACTTGTATTTGTGACGAACAGTATCATGAGAATGTTCGGCAGATAAACAATTCTTGCCACCTTCTCCATTAATTTTTTTCCACATGACGGAATGATTGTCTTCAAACAGGAGCTCATAATTTCCTTCGGGATCTTTGAGACATGATCGTTAATACAGAGTCAAGTTGTCAGCTTACCTTCAAGCTCCTTCTCTAAAACGTCATAATCCGAGTGTTCCATCAATGAAAATCCATGCTTTTCGAATTTTTCAAACGAATCATGAACGACATTCTCAAGTTTGGGTCTAACAAATAAATTTTTGGATGATGACGATGAAAACATGGCTCTGTTGGGAACAATGGGCCACAACAATTTCAATATTTTTTTTGTGAAATGAGTTGAAAAATGTGTTTTTTATTTATCACTCCAGCAAGTAAGTGATTGGAATGTCACGAAGTTTAGGGAAGGTAGCATGAGAGGATGAAGTTTGAACATCTCTTTGAGCATTGAGTATCGTTGTATCGACATCAAAGTACTCAATTTCTTTTCGTTGAATACATTCAAGAGCCCATCTTCGTATTTCACCATCAACAGCATCATAAAGATTTTGAATTTTGGTTCGTTTTGTCTTGAAACCGTAGGACAAAGTTGCGAATGGCAACCAACTTCTCCAATAGGTAAATCCAGTGGCTCGATTCAAAAGATTCATCACTGAATAAACGGTGGCTTCACAAATTAAGGATGAGTCTTCTTGTAGTACGTTCGCAATGCCTTCCAAAGTGGGGAATGTGTCTGATTGTCGTAATTCTCGTTTCACACTTTCAAAAATAACCCACCGAATTAATTCGGCAATTAGTTGTTCTGTCTCTGTTTTTCCAAGCTCCTTGATTACTCTAAATTTGGATTGTAAATTCAGACTGTAAATAACAGCAAAGAGAAGTTTAAAGTCTATAGAAGAGTTCTTATTTCGAAGTATATCAATGAGCTTGGGATTTTCCAAACGCTCTCCTGTCACTGGATCAGCAACTTGCCCAAAATCCAAGTAATCTGATTTGCGGTCAAATGACAACCCTATAAATGAATGAAGTATGTTCAAGGGTAATTGATAACAACTACACTTGCCATAAGAGTATTTCCAAGATACCCACGAGTCACTCTTCACTTGTTTGATATCAAGTAAATCTATTTTGAATTTAAATCGATGAATACTATCTTTTTCCTTTTCATTCTCAAGCTCTACACATCTGTTGTCAGCATCTGTAGCTTTAGGATAGAGTAGTTTGTAATATCCTGAAAATGTACTTTCATCAAATGCTACTTTTGTGGCAACACTAGGATCGCTAAAGTAATTCTTCATATCATCCTTACTTGGAAGTGATGGCGCCAGAAATAATACGCTACTCTTGTGTTCATACAAGTTCTCCAAGATGGGTCCATAAACACCAAAATGATGTGCAATATCCATGGCATAAAATTTTCTAATGTCATTCTTATCCTTTGCACAAAATATGATGGGTTTTCCTCTGTACTTGTCAACACAAGAGACAACATGTCGTTGTCCAACGTCTTCTTGGAACGAAATTCCCTTATAAAAATCATAGTCCCAGTAATTAGCTCTTAAATTAAGCAATTGGAAAATATCTGAAAAAGCTTTGAAATCCTCTCTTCTAAAATTGTTGTTTGTGATTAATAATAAATCCGTGGTATCAATCATGGAAGGATTAAAATGAGGAACTGCTTGTACATATTTTTCAATTTTCTGAATAACCTTATCCTTGTAGATCAATTCAACTTCAAATGCTTGATTTTGATAAAATTCGGTACAATATCCGACAATGATTGGATGAGTGTGAAAAGTGAATCCTTCGGCATTAACATTTCCTTGATTTATGATATGCCTTAATTCTGTTTCCACGAAGAATAACTGATCCTTTGTTGTAACTCTATACACAAAAGGATAGAAATTTTTGCTCAGGTTGGATATCGAAAGAACCAAGTCAGAAGAGTCACCTCTTCCCATTTGTTTCAAATAAGAAATGTCAGTAATGGATAAAGGATATTGAACGTTGATATTGCAACCAAGAATGGAATCTGTAAATACACGATCAAAGAGATCGATTTGAGCCTTAACCGATATTACCTTGGACAGTTCATGGGTTTTCAGCGCCAAGTCTGGAGCAATCTTTGCAGAAAGCTTGGCATGAGTGAGTGTAACGGTTTGTTTGGGTCCAATCTCTGGTAGAATATATTGATCATCACTCAAAATAAAACCATTGGAATCAGGTGAAATGTGCAAAATCGCCCCTGCCGGCAGAGGTATGTCACCATCATTGTGTACCTAGCAAAATCACGTTTAAGAATTAAAAGACTCTTATAATGCCCACATACCTTAAATGCAGTCAAGAAAATCTCCTCACCAGGTTCATAAATTCCATCATCATCTACAGCCACAACGTCGAAAGAGAGAAGTCTTGCCGAATAACATTTTTGACCCTCATACATGATTTGATTTGTACGAAAATCTAAAACTCTATAAATTGTGAATCCGTCATTTCCAAATTGAGGATCAAAAGAAACATTTTGAGTTGCTTTTGAGCCTGGGTTTCCAGCTCGTCCTTGTGCTCCACTCTTTACATTTCCATGACCTCCTTTTCCACCCTTACCACCCTCACCAGGTTCTCCTGGGACTCCATTGTATCCAGCTCTACCTCCCTGTGTTTCTGTTTTTACAAGCACCAATAATCTTGGATCATAGGTATTCACGAAAATAATTCCACCATTGCCTCCATTGCCACCGTACGAAGGTCTTCCTCCATCACCTCCATGACCACCGTCACCACCATTGCCACCTTCTTGAATTCCATTGCCACCATTACCTCCGTTGCCACCAGGACCACCATGACCTCCATTTCCTCCGTTACCACCATTGCCACCACATGCTTTAAATAAAACATATTCATTATTCGAATGTAGTGGAAATCGTGAGCATGATGTAAATTGATATTCGTCAATAACAGAGCTATTATATCCATATCTATTAGATTGCGAATAAGCACCTCGGTGAGAATCTCTGGAATATTTAATGACCAGCTCTTTTGGATGTGAAGATCGGTCCATAAGAATATTTAAATTGTCTGCTGAAAAACCGTTTTGAGCATTAAAGGCATCTTCTCCAGCACTTCCATTCTCTCCATTTTCTCCTCGTTCTCCAACAGTTGACCTATCTTTCGATTGACCATTGCGTCCGTGACGACCAGCTCTTCCAGCTCGACCGTTAGTGGCGTTTTGCCCATGACTTCCACTCACATCAACTCGGCCAACAAAAACACGCTCCTTGTCAACTTTACTACGAATTTCTGAAATGTCATTCTGAGTTTCTACACTCGCATGAATGATGTTATATTTAACACTATTAGATGATGGTGTCGCTACATGGATCGGCGTTTGTCGTATAGGCACTGTATTCAAAGATTCCGATAACGTCATACTCAAGCCCAACCTCAGACTGGATTGATCCATATTCAAATCATGTTGTCCACTGCTCCAATCACTAATGGGAGGAGCTGATGATATTTGTGATTGTTGCATCGGATCATCATCATTGTCATGACGATCGTTTGGCAGAATAAAAGATCCTTGTTGCATGATGAGTGTTGCTGATATGTAAATTTTTTGGATCTTTAATTAGAAAAATTTTGGACTTGGAGTGTTTTAATCGAAGTCTTCAACACGTGTTTACCTTTTGGTTCATCAAATTTGATTGGAAGAAGGAAATCAATTTGGATGAATGCTCGCATGAAATCTTGAAAAAAATAGATTTTTTCACTTCTTTGTGTCCAAAACATCTTTCAATGATTTCTTAGAGTAAGCCTTAAGTTGCAATGCTTCTTCTTGTTGCTCCAATTCAATACGATGATCAATTTCTTCCAAGTGATGGTCGAGCAATTTTGAAACTTTGTCATAATTATCGAAAAGTGGAATATTAGGAATGAGTATTTGATCAATGACCTCACCAAGTTGTGGCTCTGGCAACAAACAAAGTTTAGAAATCTTGTTACAAATTTCTTCGAGCTGTTTTGGTGATTGTTCTTCTTTCATTTTGAATAACTGAGTAGTGATGTGAGGTAAATGAAGGGATTTCAAAGAAGGCATGTACAACCTTCCAGAACGAGAAGAATCAAGCTCAAGTCTTTGAGGGCCAACTCCAAACACTAATTCCCACTTTTGCTTGTTGGTTTGACCTGTGCTTACATCCATGAAGAGCGGTACGCCTACATCAGGATCATAATTAAGCAAAGATTCATCCTCAACTTGTTCTTTCTTTTTGGAATGCTGCTTCTTTGATTTTTCTTCTTTTTTCGTGTAATCATTGCCTTGGATTGATGTTTGTTCGAATAATTCAATTAAATCATTTGGTTGAGAGTTCGATTGAGATGTCGTTGCCAGAAAAGCGTCACCACTGTTGTCAGTGCTGCTTCCAATGTTCGAGTAACTTTTCTGCATGGTGCTTAACGGAGGCTGCTCTTCTTCCTGGAGAAATTTAAAAGCTCTACAAAGACTCAAAATGCAAGGATGATCCACGGACACGAGCATGTCTTGATATTTTACATTATATATCAGCTCATTACATGTTGGACAAATACATAATTGATATCTGTTGTTGAATTGCTCGTAATATTTCTGTACAGATATGTACGTTTCAGTCAAGATATCCTTTCCTTTCTTTCCTCTATTATCAGCAAGATCTATCAACTTGACAGTGTTGACAAAATAGGTCCCACAGTTAAAACATTCAAATACAATTCCTATGGGTTTCAAATTCCGATGATGATTCCTTTCCGTTAGTAGAGAAGGCAAATATAAATCAACGTACCCACTTCACGCATTTTGTTTTTATTGTGATTCAATACGGGTTCGTTCGGCTTCTCAATTTACAAATTGATCATCAATCGAAACTTTTAATTGCTCTTGGGTGTAAAAAGTGGCTTCAAAATAAAGAATAGAATGACTCCAATAATGATTAATAAAAAGACAATCACTCCAATGATGATGAGCTTGTTTAAAATCTCTCGTCTAGACATTCTACCGAGAATTCTACCACCTTGTTTAATTTCCGAGTCCACATCGTAGAGCCTGTCACGAGTCTTTTTCATTCTTTCACCTTGTTCTCTCAAGGTAGCGGCAGAATCAATTCCGATTTGTTCAGTTTCATCGAGAATTTGTGAAGCACGAGCAAGTGATTCATTGGATCGTTCCAAAACTTTAGTGGACTCAACCATTCTTTGTCTATAATCATCACTAGCTGCAGGGAGCTCATCCTCATATCCCGAAAATAGAGCGTCTCTGTTTCTAGCATTTTCTGATTTTGATGATTCCAATTCCTTTTGAAGATTGGACAAATCTTGCTTGTATGTTTTTAACTTCTTTTTTAAATTTTCTTTTTCTTGAACATTTACTGTGCTTTGCATTTCCAGATTCATTTGTTTGATGTGTTTGTTGGCTGTATCAAGATCTTTTTCAATCTTTCGGGCAGTTTGCTTTTTGGCATCTCCTGTTTGATTTTTCAAAGCAGCCAACGAACGTTTAATAGAATTAGATGCTTCAAAATATTCATCTTCGTAACTACGAAATAATTCGCTCATTCTTTTGTGATAATGATATCAGATAATAATGGTGATAATGATGATGAAATATGTTGTTTTGTTATCCGAAATCACAATAATTTTCAAACCAAAAAACAGCTGGCAGAGAAATGGGTTATGATTTTAGTTTGTGTGCTCTGATGATCAGATATCGTTTTTGATGAACTCCAAGAAGCCGTTGTTGTTTTTCAAAAAAGTTAGCTGTGGGCAGTGGAGCGACAAAACAAATATCTTTTTTTTCTGTGCTGATGTCTGACCCCAATTTTAGATGAGAGAAAATGTTCTTCTCTAATTGCTTTTCTAATAAAGCTGTCTTCATGCAAGCCATTCCAACAGCTCTCCATGTCGTTTATAATCTTCCAACTCATGTCAATATTACACGTGCCTAATTCTTATTTTTAGGTGAGCACACATATTAAAAATGTCTTCATCGTCCACCACGCAATCTGTGGAGGCCGTTTTTTCTCGAGTCAATTATCCTTATGCTTCTCGTGTTCGGAATGACGTTTACAATCTACTTTCTAACATCCCATTAATTGTTAATGTTGCAAAATTAAACGGAAAAGATACCATGCAATTAACGGTAGGTTGATGAATTGTGATCACATGCTTACAGAATATTTTGTTACTATTTCATTATAATGATAAATAATCTTCCGATGGTATTGTAAATATCAAACAATTTTGCTTGGATAGGAACGATCCCAATGTATTATAAGGGAACCAAATATAATATTCCAATGACATTCTGGATTGTTGAAATGTATCCATATCATCCTCCTTTATGTTTTGTTTCACCAACACCAAATATGGTGATCAAACAAAAACACAAACATGTAAGCGAAACCGGACAATGTTATCTTCCATATCTTTCGGAATGGAATCCATCTTCTTCTGATCTATACGAGTTGGTCAATCAGTTGAGTGCAATTTTTGGATCAGATCCTCCTGTCTATCAAAAATCAGGAACAACACATACCACCACTCCTTCAGGCTCATTCAATAGTCCAATGATGAGTAGTGTCACTAATTATCCTCCTCCATTTCACCCTCCTACAGGAACTGGAGGGATGTCATCCTCGATGTACGGCACCACTTCCACAACAAATCCAACATATGCAACAACAACTCCAACGTACGGAGCAACAACCAACCCTCCTCCATTTGGAACATCATATATTAGTGGTACTACCGTATATGGGGTAAATCCAATGTCGTCATCCATGTATAATTTACCTCCGGTTCCAAGACCTCCAACTGAGAGTGAACTAAAAGAAAAACTTATTGCAAAAGTAAGACAACATTTACAAAATGTCACACTCAAAGAATATGGAGCTAAAATAGAAGCAGAATTTAAAACTCAAAATCAGTTAAGTGCAAGAGAAAAACAATTGGAGGTTATTGAACAGCGTATGAAAACTGAGCTTGAACAAATTGAAAAGGACAAAGAAAATTTATTACAAAAGAAAGCTTCTTTGGAGGAATGGATCAATAACAATGAAAACAAACCAATTGACGTGGATACAATCATCAACCCACAAGACATGCAAAGCAAACAAATTCTGGACCTCACAAGTGAAGACAATGCTATTGATGATGTTATTTATTATTTAGAAAAGAAATTACATGCCAAACAAATTTCTCTCCAGGAATGGCTTGAGCAAATTAGAGAATTGAGCAGACAACAATTTTTCAAGAAAGCTCTCATTAAAAAGATGGCTCAATGCAATTTTTAAGTGAATCCACAATGTCATCTCTTCAATTTTTACCCATCACGAATTTGAAATTAGCCAAATTGCCATTGATCGATGGTGCAACTGTAAAAAAAATGAAAAGATTTTTAGTTCCATTTTGTTTCATCCTTTTCTGTTTGGTGTCCTGGGCCTCCGCGAGTTTGACACTCGGAGCAATGACGAGCTCATCATTTGCTGATGAAAATTGCTCATCATCCATTCAATCTGTACTCATATCCAAAGAGGCATGGCTTGCAGTGAACATTTCCTCATCGTCAACATTTACTGTGAAATTCCAATTCCAGTCCAACAATTATGTTAAAACAAATATCGTGAGCATGGATGGTAACGCTGCAAGCGTCTCTCCTACTGTCTACACAGTTCAACTCAATAGTGCCTATTCCGTTCATGAAGCCGATCAAACTCTGACATTGGGCGACAGTGGAGTTGTGAATCCGTGTGGATTTTGGACAGGTAATTTTACTCCTTGGAGTGAAGAGGCTTCAAACAAGTATTGTAATTATTGGATGGGTTTACTTGGTCGTGGAGCTGTGTATCGAGTCGATTTTGTGAGTGGTTCAAATTGTTCAGAAATTGTGTTGACCAACACAAAGAATTCACAATTTGTGTTGGATATTGTTCCATCTCCTTCAATTAATTCTCAAGTTTGTACGAATTTTGTAACCAGAAATTCATCGGTATGGTGGAAAGATTCCATTCAAGGATACAATTATTATTTGCAATTTAATACTGAGATTGTGAGCACATCTTATGTTTTGGGAAGTTATAAATTGGTATTGGAAAACACAAAAGATTGCAATGGCACACTCACGAGAGCTTATTCAAGTGGACAATTCCAAATTCTTTCAAATTATTCTACCATTTTGACAAAGAAACAATTTTGTTACGATTATTCTCCAACTCCAGGAAAATGCACAAGTTTATGCAAAGATAACATGCTTGATATTATTTATGGATTGTTGAAAACCAACGATAACTGTACTTCATGGAATGTGAATACTTTGGGTTCAACCTATTTCACAGAGAGCAATCCTCCACCTCTTCCATCTCACTTCCCTACTTCATCCTCTCAAGTTCCAAGAGATAATACTCAAATTTTGATTGTAGTTGGTTCAATTGTTGGTTGTTTGGTTGTTTTAGGATTGTTGACACTTATTGCTGTAACCCTTGTTCGCTGTATTAAGAACATGCAACAGAAAAGAAAGTACATTGGTGTTTAATGATGGATCGATTCATGTACACGCAGAGTGTATGAAAACAAATTGTGTTCAATGTTGTCACAAATAAATTTTGATTTCGTTAACATCTCTCAAAGATCTTGAACAAGTCAGGTAAAGATGCAATTTCAACCACAGAGCCATCATTCACCATGTCGTTTGGTGGATTAAACACCAGCTTAATCGAAGGGAAAATAACATGTTCCGTGATCCACTGCAGTCGTTCCTTTGTGTAAATACAAGATGGCACTCCAGATGTTGTTGAATCATTACTCACTTGACTGTTCGAACCTTCTTGTGGCTCTTCGAGTTCATAACTTTCACACAAGCCATAAAAATTGCTCAATTGAATGGAAATACCCTTGATACAACTCAGCTCCTCGAGCCAATCTACTTTTGTGGCCAAATTATAAAAAAAGTCTGGAAGTCTGTGAAGTGGAGGAATATAATTTTCAAGAATATGTGGTAACGCTTCTAGCTTGTCGTCTTCAGTTATCACAATTCCAAAATATGCTTTCAATAGATCTCTGTGAGCTGAAATTTGAGACACCACTTCAGATACAGCAGAGCTATCAATTTCTGTTGCTTTAACAAGCTCTCTAATATCAAGCTTTTTGGGTAAATTAATGTACTTGAATTTGCTTAGCTTGTGAATAATTCTCTGATAGATCAAGTGTTTAGTTGACACGGCCATATTCAATAAAATTAGTTTGTCATTGTATTGAATGAGAGAAAGTCTTGGATTGATCCATCCCACAAAAGTACTTTTTTTCAATAATGTTTTCAATTCTGTGTGCGTGTCTGCGCTTATTTCAGCTTTCAATCTGATGACACTGTCCAACTTGTGGACATCTTCTTCAGTTGAATCATCTTGTTGTGAGTCAATATCTTCTGAAGGAGTTTCCTTTCGTCTAAACAATTGTCAACATGCATATTTTGTGATATTTTAGAAGCAACACAGTTAGGCTCATCAACTTACTTTTTAACAGATGGTTCTGTGTCAGCTGGTGGGTGTTCTGCATCGATGGTTCGTTTCTGAGGAGTAAGATATCGTTCCATTTGTCCTGTTTGATCTGAAGATGATGTTCTGACCTTATTTTTGGGTTGTTCTTTTTGTGTGAACGAGCTAGAAGAGGATGCAGGTACCACAATGTAATCCCCATCTTCATCTTCATTTGACAGAAGTGATGATTTAGATCGTGAAGAAGAAGAGGATGATGGCTGAGTGGATGGGCGTGGTGAGGCAATTTTTTGAGCAATATCAAATACTCTTGATTCGTTAGATCCTAATAGCTTCTTTCTGATTGTTTCTTTCACTTCTTCTATAATTGCTTCTTGATCTAAAAAGAGTATCTCTTTTTTAGTGGGATGCAAGTTGACATCGACTTTTCTTGGATTTAACATGAGACTTAGAAATACAAAGGGATGACCTCCTTTTGGTAAGTAAGGTTCAAAAACGCTAAGAACAGCTCTCTTGAGGTCTCTATGAGATATTAAACGTTCTAAGAAGCAGTCACCATACAGACTTTGGATAGCATGTTAAACTTACTGTTGACAAAGATTATGAATTCTTTTTCTTTTGAGCTAAAATTCACGTTTGTGAAATATGCCTTTCCTGTCAATTCAAGTTTCTCATTCTTGATATCTACGTCCATTATTTCCTTTTCTATTTTGCTGCTAAATAATGTTTTGATATTTTGCTTGACAGTGCTTTTTGTATCTGTATGGAAAATTGGTTTACCATCCAACTGTTAAAACCACATTTTCGGTTTTGTTGAATGCAAGAGTAAATTCATGACTGCATGGATGCCTCTTACCTTTTTGAGAGTAATACTGACTCCTGTATTCAGTAAGGCATAATTTCGAGTAATTTCTGTAATCTTTTTCATCTCTGTACTCTTGTTGATCGCCTCCCTTCTTGTTTTGTTGTCGTAAAAGAGATTTTCTGCTGTGATACAAGTTCCTTTAATACCTGCACTCTTTTTCAGAGCCCCATCTAGGTGACCATTCTTGTATGAAGCTCTTCATAGTTGATTGAATAGATTGTTGAATTTAAATAACACTATTAATCATAACGTACTTAATAGCACATTCTTGTTCTTGTGTTTTGGAAATTATTGTCACGTGCGCACACTGACTAACGCTACTGAGAGCCTCTCCTCTAAATCCGAAAGTGGAAATTGTTTTTAAATCATCATAGGATGTAAGTTTACTTGTCGTGTGCCTCATGCACACAATCTCTAAATCTTTAGCCTATGATGATCAAATTAGTCGTTTCGGAATTATTGAAATTATATTATTATTATTCAGAAAATATCAAATTTCAATCATTTCAATATAACGTTATTTCCACGATGATGATCATTATGATAACATACTCCAATACCACATCCATTATCTTTAATTTTAAAACATTTTAATCCAGCATCATCGGAAACTTCAATCGTGATCGAATCCGCACCAGCATCCAATGAATTTTCTAACAACTCTTTGATTGCATTGGAAGGTCCAATAATGACCTCACCAGCAGCAATTTTAGCAATTACTTCCTCCGAGAGAGGTTTTATTTTGCCATCCGATGATGTTTTGTTCGTTGAATCGCTTGAAGATGCCTGTAACATTTTTTTCCAGTGTTTCCTTGATAGTGGTGGAAATCAATGCCTTCCAAAACCTGTGAACAGAAAAAACACAGTCAGGGACTGGAGTTTCAAAGCTATCAACAACAAGGCATGTGAACAACTGAATGACAGGCAAACTGTCAACTGCCATTTCGGATGAAATTTTGAAGCACAAACAAAAAAAAATGGGCAACAAAGGAAGTACACCCTCATCGTCTTCTCAAGTAACAAGCAAGAACTTCAAATGGCTCTCTCAGCAATACAAGCTCAAAGATGAAGCGCTAACAACTCAAATTACTTCCATTTTAGGATCAACAAATTATTTGAATTATCACGAGAAACATCACGAGCATGCATTGTGTGAATGGATGAGTAAACTCTTTCACGATACTCTCAAATACAATCGTTTGGATATTTCCAAATTGACATTGTCGAGTTTTGAAAAGATTTTCCAGAAATTCGATCGACCAAAGAATTCCTATGTGACCAATGAATGTAAAGAAATTGTTGTGAAATTGTTAAATGCAGTGATTCCTCTATTTATTGAAAAGAACAAAATAACGTTGAAAGAATTAACTTTTTTTAATTTAGATTTATGTGGTATTTTCCCTGGAGATGGATTTGAAATTTTTCATGCTTTGGATCGATTCCATTTATTACATCTCATTGAAGAGTTGGATGTTAGTGTCAATAATTTTGAGAAAGTGGATGAGTCTTGTCTTATCAAGATGTCTAATAATGGTACTTCAAAACTCAAAAGATTGACATTCAGTGGAAATTCACTACAAGATCTGAATGTGAATGAATCAAATATTGAAAAGATTACATTTCCAAACTTGACATCACTCTATCTCCATAATAATATCAATCTCAACAGTTTTCCAAAATGGGTGTGTTATCAACAGAGTGTTCATACTCTCAAAATGTATGAATGTCAAATTGAAGGTCTCATTCCAAAAGAATTATTCATTCATATGCGAGAATTATTGACTTTGGATTTGGCAAGAAATGCTATTGAAGGATTTGAAGACCTGTCATTCGAAGAAGAACATTCATCATCTTTACGGAATTTAAAAATCAAGGAATTGAATCTACACTCGAACAAGATCTCTGTTCTTCCTTCATCAATTTTCAATGCCTCTGTATTGAGTTGTTTACAAGATTTATTCCTTTCTCATAACTCTATTACTGAAATTCCTGACTCGATAGGTGATTTACCACTTTTGAAGAGTCTCATACTCGATAACAATCACATTTCACAAATTCCTTACTCTATTTCTAAACTTAAACATTTGACAGAATTGGATCTCAATCATAATAGAATTTCTGAATTTCCTGATGCATTATTAGAATTGGAATCACTGCATTCTCTCGATATTTCAAGCAATTTATTGAATACAATACCTCTTGATGTTTCTAAATGGAGCAAACTTGCAAGTTTGAACACACTCTCTCTTGCTTGTAATCGTATCAAAGAATTACCAAAGAATTGGATTAGTGACAAGTGTCTTTGCAATTTACAGAAATTGAATTGTGGATTTAATCAAATTCCATCCTTTGACATATTTGAGAGTTGGCCAAGTTGCAAATTGACACAACTCATTCTCTCTGGTAATCGAATTTGTGAAATTCCTGAAAATTTTATTGAGACTGTGAAAAACAAATTAAGAGTTTTGTATTTGGTCATAACAATATTTCTGAAATCGTTGATTTCACACCATGTACATCACTCGTACATCTCAGTCTATGTTACAATTCGATTCATGAAACATTTGAACAAGTATTACCAAGACTCTTTTCCAATACTACTCTTCAATATTTAGATTTAGAAGGAAACTATTTGGAATTTAATCCAGAGAAAGAAGGAGGTGAATCCAATACTGTCAACAACACCAGTGATAGTCACTCTTCCCTGAACGACTATATGAATCGTAAAATTGCTGAATTGAGACCCAAAGATGACAACAATTTCAAAGAACTCAAAATTCTTCCTCAATTCCCATGGATTCAAAATGAGGAGTGCAACAAGATTTCTCCTCATCTGTTTTCATGGAACAACACTTCACAACTGTCCTATTGTAATGGCACTTTTCGTCCCGATATGGAAGATGCTCATCTCATTGAAGAAGGACAAGTTGTGAAAATTTCTGACCAACTCGAATGTTCCTTTTCAGTGTATGGAATTTTTGATGGTCATGCAGGAAATAACGTTTCAGAATGGATGGCACAACATTTCACATCTATTTGTAAATATTCTCTCAAGAATGTACTTTATGATTGGAATTCCAATACGACCGCTCATGAATTGGAAGATGAAATTTTACAAATTCTAAAGAAATGGATGGCACAATCATTAATACTTGCTGATGAAACATGTCGTGAGAAGAATTCACATCTCTTTAAGGATGGCTGTACTGCTGTGGTGTTTGCACTCTTGACACTCTCTTGTTGTCCGAACCAACGTTTTGCTATTTTTGGTAATGTTGGAGATGCAAGAGCCATCATGGGAACTGTTTTTTTATCCAAAGAAGAACAAGATCCAATGAAACATCATGACCTGAATATTCATTCCTCTTTAGAAAATCACAATTCCCAAAATGATTATCTGATTGAATTTGAACTGAATCGAATGACACATGATCACAAACCCACAGGTGATCCTTCTGAAATTTTACGAATTCGAAATTGTGGAGGATATGTCATTAATTCTCGAACCATGGGTACCTATGGTGTTGCAAGAGCATTGGGTGATTGGGAGAGTCGACCTTTTCTCTCCAATGAACCCTATGTGAATGGATGTGTTTTAGAACAATATGTGGATTCATTACAAGATGATGATACGATCAATCAACCATTGAAATGGTTCAATCATTCCATTGAATCCAACGAAACCATGAATAATAGTCCTTGTACGAATATTAATTCAACAACCAACACGATTGAAAAACAAATCGTAATTTTGGGATGTGATGGTGTATGGGATGTGTTGAGTGATCAGGATGCTTTTGAAATGGCAGCCATGACAGCTTATTCCAATTGGAATCATCATAATGTCAAGAGTAATCATGAGAATTCGAATAAGGTATCTTGTGTGATTCGAGATTTTGCTCATTCAGCAGGAAGTACAGATAATATTTCAGCCATGGTTATTTGGTTGTAAAAATCAGTGTCGTCTTGTGATGAGACTGTAAAAACACATGAACGCTTGGAGAATCATGGTTCGGCTGTGTGATTGGCGATCGGAAATTGCAAATAAAAGACAACTCAAAAAATGTCTCTAGACTATTCATCACCTCCCATTCAAGTCACTTGTCATGAATTGTTAATTCCTCCAAATACAGAGACTGTGACTGTCTCTCCAATTTCACAACCTCTTCCACCACTTGCAAACAATCATTTACGAATTCGTGTCAAATACGGAGCACTCAATTTTGCAGATGTTTTACAAGTCGGAGGAAAATATCAAGAAAAACGTTTACCTCCCTTCATTCCAGGATCAGAAATTGCAGGTGTTGTGTGTGAAATTAATTCTTCCAATGAAGTGAATCATCATTCTTTTCAAATTGGAGATCAAGTCCTATTATTGGCTCAAAAAGATGGATGGCAATCATTCATTGACATTCCCATTCAATATCCTGCAATGATTCGAGTACCCAAGTCCATTGATTTAAAAAAAGCAGCTGGATTATTTGTGGCTTTTTCAACTTCACATGTGGCTCTCACTCATCCAAGACATGGAAATTTACAAAAGTGCAAGTTGGAACTTGACTCTAAAGAACAAGTTGCAATGATGAAACAAACAATGACACATTCAGAACAAACCATGAAGCATACAACAAATCAACAGACACAATCAGAACAAGTTGCAATGAAACAAACCATGAAGAAGAGAAAAATTGTGCTCGTATTAGGTGCTAGTGGAGGTGTCGGCCTCGCTGCATGTCAAATTGCAAAAGCTCTTGGTGCCATTGTCATTGCTGCTTGTAGTTCCGACGAAAAGTGTCAATTATGCAAAGAAAAGGCACACGCAGATCATGTCATTAATTATGAAGCAAACAAAAAGGATTGGTTCAAAACAGTTCTCACTGATTTTACCAATGGAAAGGGATGTGATATTATTTATGATCCTGTTGGAGGTGATTTGGGAATGCAAAGTTTGAAATGTATGGCATGGGGAGGTGTTTGGTTAGTGATTGGATTTGCTACTTCACACATTCCTCAAATTCCAGCAAATATTTTACTCGTCAAGAATTGCAGTGCAAGTGGAGTGTATTGGGGAAGTTACATGAAACATGAACCACAAGTGATTCAACACAGTATGAAGGAATTATTTGAAATGATGACCCGAGGTGAAATTGATCCATTTATTAGTCATGTGTATCCAGTAGAGCATGTAGTGAAAGCCATGAACGATATGCTTCAAAGAAAGACTATTGGAAGAGTCTTGTTGTCGTTTGATGAGAACGAACGATTGTCGAAAATGTGAGAGAGAATATTTCCAAAATGCTTCAAGAACTCTTTGAACATTGCTGTTTTGACGCTAAAAAATACAATCTTAATGTTCCTTAAAGAAACAAGCTCTTTGAAAATTGACCATCTCCGCCGTCGAACCCTTCTTTGTGTCGTCCAACGCCTTGAGAATAAAAAATCTAAAATATTTTTAAATGTCAAAATTTATTATCTTCTAAATTAGCAAATCGATTTTCATCATCAATTCATTGATTCAAACATCTAGGAATGATGAAATCATTGAAAGCAGCGTACTCTAATTAATGGCAGGGCATTTTGGACCTATATATTCCATTCAACAAGTTTCATCATTACAAGTATCATTGGCAACAGCAAATCATACATGCCAACAACAAGTCATCATAGAACAAAATCATTGTTGTATCAAAATAACAGTATAACACAGTCGGTCGCAAACAAAAATTCCAAAACTAAACCCAACACTTACCTTGACCAATCATAGAAACGACGAGAGCAACGATAAGACCGTAAAGTCCAAGAGCCTCACCGAAAATGAGAATCAAAATCAAACCGACGAACACTCTTTGTTGTTTACCATAAGCACGAACACCAGCATCACCAACAACACCAATAGAAAGACCAGCAGCCAATGAAGACAAACCACAAGCCAAACCAGAAGCCAAGTGAGAATATCCAGAGTATGAGCTGTATCCGTTCTTGACGTTAATGGAACCAGCAATAATGATAGAAACGATCAAACCGTAAATACCCAAGATACCAGCCATGATAACTGGAACAATACCCTTCATGACAAGTCTGTGGTCCATAATACCCAAGTGAGCAACACCAACACCAGCCTTTGCTGAACCGTAGGCAGAACCCAAGTTGGCAAAGATGAGAGCAGAAGCGCAACCCATCATACCGAAGAAAGCAGCAGAAGCAGAGCAGAAAGGATCACCTGCGGTGAGGTCGAGGAGTGGAGTGAACATCTTATTGTTGCAGAGTTTGAGATATTTTTTTGTTTTGCAATTTTTTTAAAAATTTTAAATTTTTAAAAAATTGTTTGTCGAACCCATTTTGTAAATCCCTACGAAATGGATAATATGACCGGAGATGAATGGAATCGGAGCAAATGGGTAACGCATCAAAACGAAATGAATTGAGGTATTGCTTGTTCTAAATTCTGTAAACTCTGGCAGGTTGTCACTATGCTTAGCCGAGTGATATCTTGTTCTCTCCAAAAGGTGTGTTGGAGATGACTTTTTCTACAACAAGATATCCATTCCATTTAACATTTATCTTTTTTAATTTAACCAGGTTAGAATTGCTTTGTTGAACAACACCAACGTGTTTCCTATTCTCAACTTGTACGACATATAACTTTGAAACCAGTGAGCTCGAACGATCTCCTCGATTTCCTGATGGAAATCGAGATGCAGAGTCCGTACAGACAAGCAAAAAAGCAAACTGAGAATTTCAGGGGTGTTGCCTTAAACATCCACTCACACACAATTCGTTAATGTTTTGAGAGATGAACCTCAAGCAGAAAAAGGAATCGCTTCCCTCGATCATCTCCAAGAACCACTCAACATGTCAATCATCAAATGAAAAACGAACAAAAAAATTCCAGTTCAACTCATCACAGACAAACATCCCTCCACCATCATCATCATCACTCGTTGATAGCAACCCTCTCAACAACTCATCATTTAACAACATCTGAACAACAACAACAACTTGATCATTAAAATGCAGAACAATACATCTATTATGAAAGCTCGTCTCAATGAAGAGAAGGAGAAAGATCCAGAGGTGAGTAAATGATATTGTCATTTGATGATGACTTATACCTTTTTTCATAACAATAATAACAATACATTGTGTGTGAACATTATCAACGAAATCAAACATGGTGCTCAACTTGTATTATCCACTCGCTTTGGATTTCATTTTTGAAATTGTAACGTCGACAATACACAATGATGGTCGTTCAACATGGTGTTATATGGTGTTTTGCAATTGATTACAATTTTTGACGTGAATGATATTTGGCATCTACATCTGTGGTAATTTGTATAATAACCATCATCGGGTTCCAATGAATGAACATTCATTTGGTGATGATTGTGTGTTTGATTTGTTCAACATGGTAATGGCAATGATCATCATGTGTCTCATTCCCATCATTCCCAAATCAAAATATCACGTGTGTAATCGTGACGACGACTACGACGAATGGAATTTGGATCACTTGTTGGTGCTATATGATGGAATCATTTCATCCACTGAATTGCGTGTTTTGTGTGCTCTCAACAATCTTGTGATACTTGTATCCTTCCTCTCGAACACAATCATGATTTTCGAATATTGTGTAATGACTGTCTCTTTCTCAAATGTGTCTTGATTCTCTCTCTCTCACACACACACACATGATGGTATATCACTACTCTTTTTGATGATAACATTAACAACATGATGATTGGAAAACACTCTAGTTCCTGAAAAGAGCCATCTGTGTGTTAGAACTTCCATTCGTTGTGGATGAACAACAAGTGGGTAACTTTTTCAAAAAGTGTGATGGAGGAGTGAAACGATTGGAAATTATTCGATCTGGAGCTCTCGTATTCTCAGCTGCTTTTGTTGAATTTAACAAACAAAAAGGAAAAAAGAAAGCCATAGAACTCTCGGAGAAAGTTGGACAAGAATATGATGTGATAATATTGAGTGCTGAGGACTTTCTTGAAGATAAAATTCCAACGAGAAGAGAAGTGAGCAAGACACCACAAAGCAAGTCACAAAATGGTGCTGGTGGTCCTTGTAAGAATCAATAAGAGAGAGCACACAATGAGAATTCTTATGGAATTCATTATTAGTTTATTGTGAGAGAGAGAAGAATTGTGTGATATCATTTCCCATGATGATGACAATGATGATATTAACATTGATAATGGAGCGCTTATTCTCTCTTGCAATATTTGGAATCACAAACCAACAACAACAACCCTCTCTTATTATTCCTCTATTGACATTCTTTCCTCCTTCTTCCTTTCCTCTCTTTGGCAACAGTTTTTATATGAATGACTTCTCTTTTCTAGCACAGTGAGTGGACATTTTGATAGCAGCAGTAGTATAATTATATGTGGAAAGTTGTGATGACATGACGTCCAAATGGATGAACAATATTTTCCTTCCTTCAAACAATTTTAGTGTCAATGTTCACATGCAACAAATTCCAATCAACAACCTATTCTGAATGCATCACTCATTTGAGAATCATTTGTATATATTTTAAAATCACAACGTGTTTTTGACCTGAGGCAAATCGTTTCCTTCATCATTCCATCCTTAACGCTTTTGTACTTGTATATAAACAGTATATTGTCATTATCAAAAAACAGGCTATGTTCATATTGAGTTTACTTTCTCTGGGGCTTGAATTCTTCTGCAAACGATGATTCCATCGTTCGCGCGAAATGAGGAACCTTTAACCGCCAAAAATTCTTTTTTCTCAAATTCAAAAAAAAAGCCTTTAACACACAACGTTCATCACAAATACCTGTGTAGTCATCAGTCCAGTTACGCATAACTTTTAATTTATTCAAATCAAAATTTTCCAGTCTGTGCTAATAACATTACAATAACGATCATCATCATCAATTCTCTAGGTTTAGCCATTTCAAATTTATAATGCCTCCAAGAACCAACAGAAAGAAGGCTTCCTCTTCAAAGGAATCTGCTCCACAAACACCGAAAAGAAAATCAAGAAACGAAGAAGAAACTTCCTTCACCCCTGCTGGCACACCTAGTCAATCACTCTCTGAATCATTGTTTAGTTTGTCAGCAAGTCAAGCACAATTGTCTCAATTTTTGGATGAAGGAGAAGAGGTTTCAGATGTCTTGTCAGGAGCATATATTTCTGAAAGTATTGCCAGTGGAGATTTCACTGGTAGAATGAAGGTATGTTAATATATCCGAGCGAGTTGATTACTGATCATTTTTCATTAGAAAGTTGCTGATATTCTGAAAGGAATGGGTCAATTGGCCACTCCGGAAGATGCTCCTTGGGATGAATTATTTCTAGCCAATTTAATTGATAAAAAGATTATTTCAAACAGATCAGAAGAGGTAAAAGTCTATGCCGCTCGTACAATTGTAGATGTTTTGAGAGTGACAGCACCAGACTGTCCTTTTGATGAAGAAGATTTACCAAAAATATTTAGATTTATTATTGACCAAATTGTAGCATTAAGTCAAGGATCAGGGTCATTATTCTCTCAAAGATTTTACTTGTTAGAAAGACTATCTATAGTCAAAATTTTCATCATGTTGGCAAACTATGATGAATGTGAAAGTCTTATTATTCCATTATTTGAGTCGCTGTTTAGAATTGTCACAGACTGTGAAACAAATCAACCTCAAAAAGTTATTTCATATATTTGTGATATAATGATCTCAGTCATTGAGTCTGTTGATACTGTCGATTCAAAGTTAATTGAAGTGTTAATTCAACCACTTCTAGAAAATAGATCCAAGCTCCCCTCTGAGGAAGAGGAGACCGAGGACAAGGATGAACAAAACGACGAAGAATCCCATTTCTCTGCTAAACATATTGCTAAAACCGTTCTAGATAAGACTCAAGAGCACATTTCCTCTCAGCTAAACGATTATCTCAATGACATCTTAAAAGAGCTTGAAAATACCAAAGACAAGACCAAATCTTCCTACAAAAAGAAACGTGCAAGAGTTTTCAGCTTGATATATGAGATTAACCTTGTCTCATCAAGATTATTGTTGACGGTGATGCCAAATCTTTGTATTCAATTGAAGGATGAAGACGTTCAAGTGAGATCTGCTGTTATTCAATTGCTTGGTAATATGTTTAAAGCAAAAGACTCTGAACTCTTCAGGAGTATCCAAACATTTTTGAAACAGACTTTTTGTCGAGATTCAGTGACAAAGATAATCGTGTACGAATTTACATGAGCAAATTTGCCAGTGGAATGATTAAGAACCATCCAGTGAGCAGTAAGACACTCAACGAAAAATTAGCTGAAAGAATGATGGATCCAGACGAAAAAGTGAGAAGAAATGTTGTTGAAACTGTCATCAACGTAGCCATGGACAGCCCTGCATTGATATCAGATGAAACCATGCAAAAACTTCAAGAAAGAGCACGTGATAAGAAAGCTGTTTTGAGATTGCATACATTAAGTTTGTGTGCACAACTGTATAACCACCATGCAACAGAGGCTTTGAAGATGACAGACTCTTGGGAAAATACCACCAGTGATAGACTCGCATGGATTCCGAATAATGTAATCAAATACTATGCAGAGCAACACGAGCAAGTAATCTCTCACAGACTATTTATTGAAAAAATTATTGATGAAACTTTGTTAGATCAAGGTGCACTTAGATCCAAGACTTTATTAGACATATATAGAAAGCTTGACGATATGGCAAAGCAAGTTCTTGAATCAATAATCTCTCAAAAGAAAGTCTTCCAAACTTTAGTGACAAATTTACTTGATCTTGATACAGAGAACACTGATTCACAAGTTATTTCTTCTCTGTCATCATTACTTCCAGATGAATCTCTTGGAAAGAGAATTTGGAAAGAAATATCTACACGAGGAAAAAAACAAAGTGATGATGCCATCAAAGTCTTAAAGGCCTGTCTAAATATTAACTCTTCATTTAAGGATGTCACCAAACTCAAAAAGAAAGGAGATGACAAGCTAGTAGGAGACAAAAAAGAAGAGAAGGATTATATGAAAACCGTCATTCAAAGACTTGCAATGACTCTCTTTACCAAAGAACAAGCTAATGACATGATCGAATTGGCACAGAAATTCTCCAACTCATCTCAACATTCAATGGCTTTATCGGCCATGCATCTTTTGAACGTCATTGTTCAATTCTATCCTTCTCTTGGAAAGGACACTATCGCAGCATCTATTGAATTGATGGAAAAGGAGGAAGACTATGAAATCAATCTCATTACTCTCAAAGTACTCTCTCACACTGCTGTTGATTTGGAAAAGACAAAGTTCTCTTTGGCTAGTGATCTTGAAGACAAACTAGTTACTTTCTGTACTAAAGGTAAACCAAAGGAAGTCAAAAGAGCAGCAACTGTCATCACAAAGGCCTTTATATCTCCAGAGAATATATTTTCCAAGATACTCCTTCATGCAAAAGACAATTTAGATTATGGAGAACCATTATTGACCTCGTTGGCTGCAATCAGACAAGTAATTATTCATGAAATTGAAATGTTTAGAACACATGAAGAAGAAGTTATGGACTTTGTTCTCAATCATGTTGTACTTTGGGATAGAGAAGAACGAAGTAGTGACTGGAGCACTCTTTCTTTGGATACTGAGACCAAGATTCAAGCACTAAAACTACTTGTTGATTACACCATTGCTTGTGCCAAGGAAGGAGTAACGAGTGAATCCGAATCTGTGAGCTCAAAACTAGTTGGAATTCTTTTTGATATTCTTACTTATAAAGGATCTATCAAAGACATCTTGGAAAAGGATCTAGAAAAATCAGACAAAATGGATACCACCGAAGAAGAAGATACCAACGAGTCTAAGAAGAAGGATTCCAACGAAAAGAAAATAGAAATTGATAGAGCCGCTCTTAGACTCATTGCTGTAAAATCAATTATTAATCTGACCAAATCTTCTGATTTCAACTTGAATTTGAAGATGGAACGCTTTTTGCAACTTGCATTCACGTCATTGGACTCATTTGTGGAAGTTAGAAAGGGTTTACTTGAAAAACTTTTCAAAGAGCTTAGAAAAGCCCAGCTAGGCAATGGATTTTCTGCAATTCTTTTGCTATTTGTTGGTGATAAGAACGCTGACTTGGCAGTTAGGGCCAAAAAGTATTTCTCCAAGTTAGTTCCTCTCAAGAGAGCTCTAATTGCAAGAACGAAGGGTCTTACACTAACATCTCGCTCTGCATATGATATCTTCCCAGAATATATTCTTCCCTATCTTATATTTTTGCTGGCTAGACATCCATTATTTGCATCTGAAGAGCCTCAATTTTTAACATTCCAAAAGTATGTTTTTCAATATTTTGACTTTTTTGATCGAATACTAATCGTATTATCCATATTCCCTAACACTTTTAACAGAATTTTATATGCATACTTTGATGAAGTCACTCATGATATTGATAACTTGTCATTTTTCCATCAATTAATTACCAAGTTGAAACAACGAAAGGATGCAATTAATCTAAAATCAGTCAATCACTTGATAGTTTGTGACATGGCCATTTCAATTGTAAACAGATGTGCTGAAAACTCTGGCAAGGCTGCATCCTCTGTACCTTTTCCTGGAAAGATCTTTGTTCCTTCATTCTTCAAAACAGCTGATGGTGACGACGAGGACGGCTCCAATATTGACACCATTAAGACACTTTATCTACCAAGTGGATTCAAATTGAATGAAAAGCTTGCAAGACAAGTTCAACCAACAGAAAAGCAAACAAAGCAAAAGAAGGCAAAGACGACAACGAAGACGACAACTGTTGAAGGAGAAAAGAAGAGAAAACGTAAGACAACTAAATCGACCTCATCTGGTACAAAGAAAAAGAAAGAAGAGGAGCCAAGCAAACGATCTCTTCCAAGTCGATCAGCGAAACAAAACAGAAAGAAGATTGAAGAAAGTGAGGAAGAAAGCGAGCACGAAGAAAGCGAACAAGAAAGTGAGCAAGAAAGTGAACAAGAAGAAAACAATGACTCGGAAGAAGAAACAACGGTCGCTCCAAGAACGGCAAAGAAAAAACAATCTAAGGAACCTGCCCAGAGTGTGACTTCGAAAAAGAAGAAGAAGTTTTAAATATTAAACAAAGTTTGTAAACGAGTCAAATGGTGGCATCAAAGTCGCCACCTGACCTGCTTGCTCTCGAGTTTTGAAATACCTCATGTGCCGTGTATTTGAAAGATCTTTGCAAAGAAAATTGTACACCAATCATGTCCAAACCGAATTTCCTTCTAATCACGGCCACAAAAATTATACGAATTCACAATGGAGTACACTCTATAAAAAAAGGATTGGAGTGTAAATTCACTTGGTAGATAAGGTGGAGTGTATCCATGGTTCTGATTTAGCAACATGACCACATTTTCAACATGCTGTTTGATGCTTTCTGTATCATGCATATTCAAGGTGACTACATTTGGACTTCCAATAGACTCCAAATATCCAGATTGACTGGTATAAATCTCGTCTGTCGGTTTTCCCATATCACTCAATTTTCGAGGAGAAATTCTTGGATTGAAAATGACATTTCCAAATGCAAGCGCTTCTATGGAGCTGGGACCGATATAGGGAGTTCCCAATCCCACATAAATAGCGCTTTCTCTCAATGTTTTCACATATTGAGCACGTGAGAGAATGCCCAAGTTAGTAAATGCAACGTTGGGAAACTTTTGCTTGAGGACATGAAATTCATTTGCCTCCAGAGTGGTAATCAACTCAAATTTTTGAGATATAACTTCAAGATATGTAGAAGGTACGTTGTCAAAATATTTCACTTCTTTCGCCCAAATGAGAGCTCGATACTTCCCTGAGGAGGTGTTTTTTCTCTTCTTTTGTAAACTTTGGTCTTCATGCTGAGATCCTTCAAAATCAAGAGGAGTGGCAGTTCCTAAAAATTGATTGACTGGATCTGGAATTTTAGATGGCTGTAATGTCAGGTATTGTTTCAAGTTCAAATTCCAACAACAATACGAATCCATACTTTTCATATCTGTTAAATCCATTGCATTATATTTTGCATGAGTACCAAAAGAATCTAAAACTCTCAATTTGCATTTAAACTCTTCTTCTTTTTGAGTTAATACAACATGTCGATCTTTTTGACGCAACACTCCCAATTGTCGAGAAAAATACATTTTCAGAGCAGAGTAATCCGTAAAGATGACATGAAATGAATCCAACGAATGATAAGGCAATATATCATTCACCAGTTCTTGCAAATCATGAGCATAATAGATTTGAAAATCCTGCAACGCAAGAGCCGTCAACAAATCTGTCCATTGAGTGAGTTCTCCCAAAGGATGTTTACCTTCTCCAACAAAACCAAATGCTTTTAAATAATTACAAATTAAAATTTTTGGTTGTTGATTCGATGAAAGGATTCGAGTTGCATTTGTATTTGCAAGAACTCCACCAACACTTCGTAACCAAATAGGAAGTGTGAGAGCTATTTTGTTTTTCATCCATTTCACATGGAGAGGTGTTTTGATATTGGACCAGAATCGAGCTTCTTGGACGTCATGATTTGTTGTGGTAAGAAGACAGGAACAGTGACCGCATGCTCCACACCACTGGAACTAGACTGTAGAGTTTGTGGCTGTTCAGAATTATGGTGTTGGACTGTCTTGGAGATCATTATTCGAATCATCAGAGTATTACCTATTAATACCAAAAAGAATACAAGAATAACCACAGTTGATAATTTGAGTATGTTGGTAGTAGGTGTCATTGGAGATGCTCTTGTTCGAGAGAGTTGAATGTTAGAGGATTTTTTAGAAAAAAAGAAACTAGTTGGAGTTAATTGACAAGTTCCATTCCTTGAACAGTTCCATAACATGAGGAATGAGATTTTTGGTGATAAATTTAGCAACAGTGGTGCAGCTCGAGTAACCTTGGACCGTCGCTTTCCTTTTGTTGAAGATCTTAATTCCCTCCAAAAAAATTTACATTTGGCGGGTTGTTTGCACGCTAAACAAAAAAAATGCAACAACATTCGTCTTCAGCAATCGCATCACCAATATCGAAACAACTCACCGAAGATCAAGTCTACTCATCCGATGATTACATTGACGAAGACAACGGGGATATTCAAAATGATTTTAAAAAGGTTCAAAAGATATCTGCAGCAACAGAGATGAAATCTCCTGAGAAGATGTAAGTAAAGATGGCAGAAATGACTTCGTTGATAATTGAGGATGATCGTGATGACTTAGAATTCAAGAGACTGAAACTGAAGAAGAAAAGGAAATACAAACCATGGCAGAGAAAATGAACGAATGGTGCTCTGCTCTTCGAACTGAAGTCATGGTATGTAATGACATTTGAAATTTTGTAATGTGCTCGAACTTTGTATTGAAGAATAATTTATTTGATCTGAAAAAAAGAAGTGTACAGAAACTTAATGAGCTCCATCAACGAAACAATGACGATCGTGATGACTTGCTCTATCAACACAAGTTGAAAGAAGAAAAGTTAAGGGACAGCATTGCAAAGAGAGATTACTACCTGGCTCGATTTAAAACGCTAACTTTCAGAATGGCTGATCAGATATCACATGCAAGACGAGTGGAAAGAGAAAAGACCTTGTTGAGAAACATTTTGGGAAAATGGAAAGAATATACAGAAACAAAGAAAATGAAAAAGAATTTAGGAACCATGCTGTTGCGAAACTATCGAAGAAACCAAGCAAGAAAAATTCTTCAAGGATGGTACATGTGGATTCTAAATGCAAAGCAAAACACTACTGAGAGAATTTGGCAAAACAGACTTGATAATGAAAAGGCTGAAATGAGAAATGATTATGAAATGAAAATTGAGAAACTCAAGGAGGAGATTTTAAAGTTAAATCAAGCACTAGAGAGAGAGCAAAATGACAAGCTGGTTTTACAAGAGAATCTTAAGAAGGCACTCATGAGAGGCGTTTGTGCGATGAATAACAAGTTTTTAGAAATTATCAAGGACACCAATATTAAGCCTACACAATCTTTCAATGTTCAACAAGAACTGGAAGATGTTCTCAATGAGGATCAAGACGAATCCGAATTCATTCAAGCAATGCAAAGCCAGCAACCTCCAATCCCACGACCATATCCAAATTATTCGCCAGATACACACACATATGTTCCACAACCTCAAGTGCAATCGTATTTAGCGAACCAGCAACAAGGTACCACCACCAGATTTGTTGCGTCCCCCTAGAAGCGTCGCAAGTGAGAAATCCACAACCTCAAATAAGAGTGGTAAGGGAAGCTGTCAGTTATCCCCTCAAACAAACTTTCCAATCTCCGCTTCATCCTCCCAAAACAGCATCAACAAGTCCTCCTAATACCAAACAGAAGCCTGTTGTTTCTAGCTCTACAACAAATAAACGATAAGGTCACAAAACATTACCTTAAAGTTTAACATTTCAGAGTTATTTGAACCAATCGGATAATATATAATTTTCTTTTTGATGGAATTTATTCTTGAACAACAGCAGCTGGAGCCTTGGAGACAGCAGTTGGCTTTTCAGTCAAAATAATTTCAATGTGTGATGGGTTAGCCATGAATGGGTTAATTCTACCGTGAGCTCTGAAGGTTCTTCTTCTCATCTTAGGAGCTCTGTTGGCTTGAGTGTGAGCAATGACCAAATCTCTGACGTTCAATCCCTTGACTCTGGCATTATTTTCAGCATTCTTCAAGAGCTTGAGAACTGCAAAGATTGACTTTGTTGGATATCTGCTGTTGGCAACATGGTGTTGCTTTCCGTTGGCATGTCTACCTGGACCACCGTTGAAGATCTTGAATGGCACAGATTCAGTGTGTCTCAAGACATTGTGCAAGTACTTCTTGGCTCTTCTCAATGACATTCCCTTGATGGCATTGACTGTTTCAGCAGTGTTCTTGAAGTGGACTCTAACTCCTTCAACCTTAGCCTTGGCGTGCTTGGAGGTTTGGACGTCAACACTATATCTTTGGCGAGCAGCTCTTGTCATTGTTCTGATGAAAAGAATATGATGAAGATAATCAGTATAAATTTTGCAAAAAGAGAGCGAAACGTACAATCGTGTAGTTGTGGCGTATTTTTTTTCAACAAATTTTTTCAAAAATTCAGTCAACCCAAATCGGTTTTTTACAATGACGCTTTAAAGTCTCTGAAAAATTGGAAATTGTGCTGATCGAAACCAGTGATAAGAAATGAAATGAGGAGAACCATCGTCAACCCCAATCCAACAAATGAACACAAGTTGGTATGGATACACCAAGAGTAGAAATTGATGACAATCCAACAAAAAATGGCCACTTCATCTACACCACATCCAACCAATGATCAAATCCATAATGAACCTATTGAAACCGAATTGAAAGAAAACAAACAATTTGATGAAGAAAACTATTCGCCGAGAGGCGGAGGAGGGTTTGGAGCTTCCCCATCACGATCCGATACACATCATGATAATTCTAATACATCAGAAGAACAACAACATCAAGAATATTTAGAAAATCAAAAATTTGGACCTTGTCTATACTTTACCGGAATATCTATTGTTTCGTTATTATTGGTATCACTTATATTCAGCCCAGCTATCTCTCTTTTACTGTTTACTGGATTACTTCCTTGTCTACTGATATTTATTGTTATTTATTGCTTATTTAGGGATAAAATCAATTTAGAGCTGAGTTTTCACGTTTTGTGGAGCGGTGCAGCTTCCGTAATACCAGTCTTTATTGTGGAGATTGGAGTTTCCTTGCTGTTTATGCTTTTTCTTTATGGAGTTAATGTTTTATCAATAGATGAGAAGAATATTGTTGGATCTATAGAAAAGCAAGTAGACAACCTTTCATTTATTTGGAGAATTGTTTTCGCCTTGTTTCAATCCTTTGTAGTTTCTTCATTCTTTGAAGAGGTGGCTAAAGTTTTATTGGCACTAAAAACAAGCAGTGGAGGAAGCCTTTTCTCTCTGTGTTGTAAATTAGGAGATAATTCACAAAGACTTTTCTATGTTGACAATTACCACCCATTACCTCCGATGCTCTATAGCTCATTAGCAGCCCTTGGACTCTCAACAATTGAAAATTTGGGATACATTCTAGTTGTTTCAGTGAGAGTGTATTTTTTAACCGCTAATATGCCGTCACAAGAATTGATTATTTTACAGTTTGGTGCATTAACTGTGATTGGTCGAATTTTATTAGCCCTTCCCTTGCACACCCTTACAGGTTGCTTAATCGGATTGAAAATAGTTCAGTACAAGATAAGAATGGAAACTCAACACTTGACAGAAGTCCCAATTTTCATCAGTAGCAGATATCAAGAAAATTCTATGACAATTTGGCGGAAAATTTGGGTGAATATTGAGTTTTTTTGCTTTGTTATTTATCAACCCGTTTTGTTTCATGGGTTGTATGACTTTATTTTGATGATTAATTTACATTTTGCTTTCAGTTTGGTGATGTGTGTTGTTTTGGTCCTTGTTCTATTTGCAGTTGTAGTGATAATGTACAGGCGTTTAGTCGTTCAATGGAGGACCTGAGCGCTTTGGAAATTGGCAGAATTATTGATCAGGATTCAGAAGAGGATTTTGAAGGTCCTTGAGTTACAATACAAACAATAATTTATTTTTTGACCTTCTTGCTAGAGCTTCCTGTGCTTGATGATGAGCCCATATTTTCCAATTTTCTCTTGGCTTTTTCTCGCTCTTGGACTTTAAGATCATCTTGATACTCTTTTTCTATGAGCTTGATTAACGTATCACAACGTTTTTGAATTTCACTGGCTGTTCTGGTTTTAATAAACCAATCAAATCTGAATTCCCAAGCTTTTCTTATTTGTGCTCTAACTTCCTCCCAGAAGCCGTACCCTAATTTTGCAGTCATGCAACAAATAAAACTATCTTCTTCTGGAGTAAATTCTTTGGCTTGATTTTGTCCATAGTTGAACTGCATTTCTAACCAAGGGTTAATGTATTTTTGAGTTTTGTATCGAAGCATTAAATTGTTGTTGTCAATTTTCTGAAGTTGAGACTCTCCTTTTTCAATTCTCTTAATGATCTTGTCATAGTCTTTGATTTCCTTGTATCTCTTCCAGAATACTTTGGAATATTTCTTTACCTGAGCGACAGATTTGCCTTCAACCTCTTTCGCAACATTTTCAATGTCATGTCGGCCATATTTTTCGCAGGCACGAATATAATTTTGGAAATCCTTTTTGCTCCAAGTGTTAAATCCTTCTTGTAAAAGTTTTTTTCGTTCTTGTTTTTCTTCTGGAGTTAGTCCTTCCTTTTTATCTTCGCCTTCATCGGCACTCTCCTCAGACTCTTTTTTCTTTTTTGAGGGTTTTTTATCTTGGTCATATTGAGTTTCTTTCTGCCAAAGCTCGAGCAATCTTGTAGTATTCAAAAATTGGAAATCATAGTACTTTGGCTCTTTTGGACCACGTCTTGTTTGAGCTTCTTCCATGGCAATTTGTTCTGATTGTTTGTTTCTTCGTCCAAGTCTTTCACTTCTGGATGTGTGAGATTCATCCCTCATGGCCTCTTCTTCTAATTGCAGAATGAATTTGTCATTCTTCTTACAAAACTTTGCTTTGTGATTCTTGGAAACTAATTTTTCTAAAGCCTTGGCTGATGCGCTCTTTGTATCAAAGTAAAGAATACAACTCTTCTTCTCACGAGATATTATCACTTCGTCCAAAAGCTTTTCTTCCTCTCCAATATCCTGAACAAGCGAGTCCTCAGTGACATCGTCGGAAAGATCTTCAATCACAATCATCGGAGTAGCTTTTTTGGAGTAGTCCAAGCCCTCAAACTCATATAGATTACTCTCTCCAGCAAGAGAGAAGTTGAGCAAGTTGTTTTGACACACTTGTTTGTATTGTTGATCAATCTCTTGGATCTTCTTTTCACCTCTAGATAAAATAGAATCTAAATCTTCATCGGTAATTGTTGATTCTGTACTTTTGAAGACTTCCTCAGCACCGAATTTGATCATAGACATGAGTTCTGTTTTTGACAATTTGTTGTGCTGCTCAGCAAGTCTCCCTTGTTGAATTACCACTGCGTCCAGATATAATTTCTTAACGGCTCGTTGATAAATCCTTTCTTCAATGGAATCCTTTGATATCAATCTATATACATTCACTGGTTTCTTCTGACCAATTCTATGACATCTGTCTTGAGCTTGTAAATCGGCTTGAGGATTCCAGTCGCTATCAAAAATAATTACAGTATCTGCTGTGGCAAGGTTGATACCTAACCCTCCAGCTCTAGTCGAGAGTAAGAAAATGAATTTGGTACTACCTTCTTTGTTGAACTCATCTAAATATTGTTCTCTCACTTCGCTTGATGTCTGACCGTCAATTCTACAATACTCATAGCTTTTATAATAGCAATAGTCCTCTAAGATGTCTAAAACTCTTGTCATTTGAGTAAAGATCAAAACTCTGGATCCTTGTTCCTTCAATCTTTTGAGCAACTTATCCATTAACACCATTTTACCAGAATTATTGATCAAGTGATCTCCCAATGTATATGGTGGCCCAGGTTCAGCTCCGTCGAATAGATATGGATGGTTGCAACATTTTCTAAGTTGCATAACCACGTTTAAAAGACGAACTTTTTCACCTCCTTTGATAGCATTCAAATCCTTCGTTAGAATACTACGGTACCATTCCTTTTGTAATTTGGAGAGACCACACTCAACATAAATTTCTTTTTTAGGAGGAATTTCTGTTTTAACTTCCGTTTTCAATCTTCTCAGCATGAAAGGTTTTAAAACCTTGTGTAGTTGTTCGATGATATCAGTCTCTGCTTGACCTTCTTTGAGATTGAACCATGTGTCAAAATCATCAGCAGAGTTGAAAACTTCAGGCAACAAAAAGTTTAACAAGCTCCATAACTCGTGCAAGTTATTTTGAAGTGGAGTACCTGTCAGCAGTAATCTATATTGGCAGTCAAATACTCTTACACATTGAGAGAGAATGGAGTTTTCATTCTTGATACGGTGGGCTTCGTCAATAATAATACTGTACCACTTAAATTTGTTCAAAGCAGCCTTTTCTTTGATTGCAATTTCATAAGATGTAACAAGTACCTCGAATTTTCCTCCAATTAGCTGAGTTTCTTTTATCTGCTTTCTAGCTTCTTTGTCACCATGGAATTTGAGAATAGATAGAGAAGGACACCATTGTGCAGCTTGATTAACCCAGTTAGGAATAACACTCTTTGGAACGACTACCAAATGTGGTCCTCTAATTCTTCTAATAAACTTTAAATAGGCTATCCAGGTCAAAGTTTGTACAGTTTTACCCAATCCCATTTCATCAGCAAGAATGCCGTTGACACCTCTATCGTGAAGCCTAATAAGCCAATTAACTCCATCAAGTTGATAACTTCTCAAGGTTGTGTTTTCAATGAACTTGGGAGAAGAGGTAAGTAAAACGCTTTGATAGTCTTCCTCCTCTTCTTCCAACGCTTCACGAATGATTTCTTCATCTTCCTCTTTTTCGGAATGTTTACGTCTTGATCCGCCTGTTTTTGATGATGAATCATTTCCTTCGGCGATGGTATGCATTGATAGTGAAGGAATAAAATTAGAGTAAATTTCTGTTTGTTCGAGAAGATGTTTGAAAGAAGTTTTCACTTTTTCTTGGGCATCCTCAACCGTTGCGAGTTCTTTCTTTTGTTTTTCCTTCAATTTGTTGAGAAGTGTTTTTTGTTCCTTTCGGATTTTCTCTAAATGTTTGCTTGTTTGTTCAGAGATGAATTGATATTTTTCTTGAGGTTCCTCTTCTTCTTCTTCGGAAGACTCTTCTCCGTCTTCTTTGTAATTACCACTTTTGTCATTATCCTCTTCTTCACTTTCTTCGTCTTCCATCAAGTCATCAGCTTCGGGTTCTTCTTCTTCGACTGGTTTTTTCTTTCGTGTTGATCGTGGCGGCATTTTTTTGTGATGTTTAAAATTTAATAATAATTTGTTGTATGATCGAGAACTGTTAGTTATGTAGGATCAAGTTTCATTCATCTTGTTGACGCAATCAGAAAAAGATGAACGAAACTTTGGGAGTCAAGGCTCGATTCAACATCAGATTGCGGGGGTACGTTATCTGGGTTACAAGTTCTGGAGCCCTGTGGAACTTGCAGACAAATTTGCCACCGTTACAATCCTTCGTCCAATCAACATATTCTGACGCGTGTTGTAAGCAGTGTTCGTCGCCATCAGATTAAAGCCTCATCACTTTTTGCAAAAAAATATCATCATCACGCACATCATCAACACAAAATGTCTGAAGAAGAATCATGGAGATCAATTGATACGACCGGCACAACTCTCACTGTCATCGACGGAAAGCAACAAATTATTTTGGACAAGAAGGTTACTCACAAGGCCTTCAAAGAAGTCCTCGAATACCTCTATACTGACAAGGTCAGTTGGGACAAGGACACCGAAAAGGATTTGATCAAAGAAACACAAGAAGCAGCCAAGTACTTGCATCTTGATAGATTGGAAATTATTGCTGAAACATACTTGGACAAGACCAAGAATGTTGCAGTTCCAGAATCTACATGGTGGAAGAATATGAAATGGGCATTCGAAAACTTGAGAACCGGAAAGTGGAATTTGTCTGATTTGACCTTGGTTTGTAAGGAGGAAGACAAAGATGTTGAAGTTCCTTGCCATGCCGTTATCTTGACCAGTGCTTGCAAGTACTTCCATGGTATGCTCTTGGGTGATGTTGATAACGAACAAAAGAAGACCATGAGAATCGAAATTGAAGATGCCACTGAAAAGCAAATGTTGGCTATTCTCAAATATATTTATACCCGTGAATTTGAAGTCGAAGTTGATGATGTCGTTGGTGTTTGGATCGCTGCTCACAAGTTCTTGTTGGAAGATTTGCAAGTTGAATGCGAAAGTATGATCATGAAGAATATTACAAAGGACAACGTAGAAGAGATCAAGAAGATTGCCGAAATGGTTCAATCAAAGAGAATCATTGAGCTCTGCGAAGAAATTCAACACAAGAACTAATTTTGTATCTCCCTTTGTAAATCATCCCATAAAAACTAAAAATTTCAAATTTGAATCTGTGATTGGCGTTTGTAAGGGCTGATGGAGGGATTCTATGTAGCGCTCCACAGGTTATCTTTGTTATTCAAAAAATCTGTTTGAATGTTGCCAACATTTAAAATCATCACCCTGGCCCTAATTTTGGCAATCTTGGCATTGTCTGTTGTTTTTGCTTCCATACCTATTCCATTCTATTCTGCCATTCTTCAACCTTCAAATATTCATCAACGAATATATAATACTCTACCACAAAACCCTTCTATCAGGTATGTGTATCTTCTTTCATCACACACGCGCACTCACACACATGTGAAACTACAACAACAACAATTAAAATTGAACGTGTTATTGATAGTGGTGGTACTTTTGGTTGCGAGATGAAACTCTAAATCGTCATTATGCTTTCACCTATTCTTTGTCCCTCTGTCGAGGTAGATCCAATTCATGTTTATATGACGGAATTTTCTTGATGTTTGCTGTTGTGGATCATTCCACTGGCAAATCCTTTCAAAAAGTTGAACATTTCAATTATGAACAATTACAAGTCATTCATGATGGCACGTATTTCCACATTAAGGTGATGAACCCATCTCAACAAAACGAAACACTCTATGAATTAAAACCTTTAAAAGATGGCCAATATCAAATTTATGGAAATATGAGAGCCAATTCACCAAATTTATTCTTTTCAGACAAGGTGGATAATTCTCTTCAAGCGCATTACAATTTTACTATTGATCGAATTTATGGATATTATGGTCAAAGAGATTTTGAGATGCCAGATGAGCGATTTAGAGGAATTATTATGTGGAATACTTATTCGCATAATAGTCAAGTGAAGGGTGTATTAAATTATGGATCAAAGGATGTTACCAACACTATTGTTCAAGCCAATCACGAGAAGAGATTTCGATTGTAAGTTTTCATGAATGGAAAATAATTTAGTACATTCCTATATGATTTGGTACACTAGTTATTGTGATATGAATTTTGGAGAATACTTGCCAACAGCTCCTGATAATGATATTGGAGATAAAAAGTATGCTTGGGGATGGTATTATGTGAATATTCCAAGTGAAAATTATGAAAATGAGCTTTCCATCATTGCAGGTTTGTTTGATTTTCATTTGTTTTTATTTGTATTGATCAATTGATAATATTTTATTAACAGGTACTGGAAGAACGTTTGCAGGGTTTCCCTTATTCACCATGGATGCCAGATTTGCAGATATTCGTTTAAATAGCACACACCACATTGAATTAACTGAACTAATCATGTATGATGAAACATTCTATTACACCAATGATGGAAAAGTTCATGCATTTTCAGTGGATCGAAGTGATTGGACAAGCTTGAGCGACAATTTTGGTACTGCTGACATTCCATTAACTCAACTTTGCACCATGGAAACAGATAATTATTTGGTAACCATGAACTTCAAATCTAAATTCTCTGATTATAACAGATTGATATTCCCTTTGAATCATGAACTTTTCTCAGATTTTGAGGCATTGGGTGTTTCCACACAACTCAAAGTGGTTTACAAGCCCACCAATCAAGTTCTTGTCGACACAATTATTTCATCCACCACTGGTTTGGAGTTTGGATATGGTGTGAAATCAAAGCTTCCATCGTTTGTGAACACTAAATCCATTAAATTTACTTAAAGACTTGTGTAAAGTCCTTTTCATGCACAAATCCAAATTCATTTTCTGAAATGAGCTGTCGAAGTCTATCTCTGAAGGTAGTAGGTCCCAAAGCTCCAACACATTCTGTGCAAATCCAGTCAAAGCATTGAGTATAGGCAACACCAGAAAACATTTTCGAAAATGCTTGTTCTACTGATAAATTGTCATTTCCTTGCTTAATTTCAGTCACCAAGTCCTTTCTTTTTTCAGTTGAATTTTTCTTGATGGAAAGAGATGAAGGTCGTTTCAACACTTCGTCTGTAACAATTTGTTCAAGGTAGAGTGCTAACCCTTCCTTAATATGGAATGGAAATCCAACCAAATTTCCGACCCAAAAGTGAGATAATTCATGCGAAAGAATTTCGACAAATGGTCCTAACTTCTTCATGTCCATAGAGGTGTTGGCTGTATGCTTTTCAAGTAAAGTAATGCACCCCCAGTTTTCCATACCTCCACCAATAATCAGATCAGGAATAATAATCCAATCAATTTTAGAAATTTGTTGTTTTGAGAGGGCGCTGTCAAAATAGTTTTCCAATATTGGTAAAATTTTACACGACATGTCAAGGACAGTTTTGGCATTATCAGTAATAAGAGATGTCGATTCCAAATAATTAACGTTAATAGGAATTTCAGTATTATCCAAGTTAGACGTATATGTCGTTTCAATACACTCAAATTGTCCAATAAATAGTCCGACTAAATATATTGACATTTTTGGAGTAGTGTTAAAAGTAATTATCTTTTTGGAATCATTCTTCATTTTAGGAGTCGTGTTTGAAATACATCTGAAATTTGAATGTAAATTGCTTACGGAAAGCTGGAAAGTGGCCTTCTCCTCCCAATCATCGAAACATGGAAAAACGTAGTGGGCGAATTGAGCCTCAAAATGAGAGCACAAAATCTTACTTGCTGTTTTAGGATGAATAGAATAGAACAAGCCTGACATGGCTTTTTTAGCAGGTACAATTAGACCTTTAAAAGATATTTTGATTTCATATTTCCCAATGTTCAGAGGTCAATCGGAGATGTTATAATCAAGCCTTTTCTTTTCAAGCTTTGTTGCTCCGATAAAGAGTGTTGAGATTTGCCAGATTTGATTTCATTTCGTTTTTCTTGTTTTTTCTTTTTTCCACCTTCTGATGATGCAACTACTACTCGTTTAAATTGTTCAAAGACAACTCCTTTTAATTTGTTCTTATTCTTTTCAATACTCACTCCTAAAATTTCAATTCGGTCCGAATTGCAATCAAGTTCAATGCTTGGTAAAATAGTGTCTTCATCATCACCAGTTTTGGAAACAATATTGCAATGAATGGTTACACTTCCATTAAACAAAATATCGTTTCCGTTCAATTTATCATTATAAAAATCATCTGAAAGAGAAATAGACAAGTCATAGTGAGAGGGATGAATGAACGAATCTGTTTCGGGTTCATCAACTTGTTCGACGAAGAAATCATTTTTTTTAATTAACAAAGAACAAAATTCAGCAACGTGATTCCCCGTATCTCTAATTTAACAAATTGAAACAAATAATAAATTTATTTAAAGTTAAATTGAAACAAATTATTGGAAATTTAATATCTTTTCAATTTCGTTATCAATTTCTTTCAATATGTTTTCACATCCTCCCTGGATACAAAGAATTCTTTCGTCTCTCAAAGGCTTCAACTCTTCATTGTGAATTGTATCTAATTCTTCTTGACCAACATTAATTCTAATGAGAAAACTTTGATCACAATCCAGTAAAACACATTCATTTTCTAGTCTCACTGATGGTACTCTTAATCCACAACCAAGCTCAATAATTACAAAGGGATATTTTGTATTTCCATATTCAGTTCTAGATTGCATTTCTCGAGAAAATGTTTCTACAGAGCACTCCCATGCAATATATCGATCTTCTTCTTCCTTATTTCTAATGTATTGTCCCAAATCTCCAAACATTAGTACATTTGGCATTGAGTGTTCTTGACAGTGTGGACAGTTTAATTTTTGTAATTCTTTAGAATTGATTTCCATAGTATGTTCATCAATTTCAAATTCCTTAAAATTAGGTACTTTCCAAACAGATTTCTCAGAACATGGTTTTCCACATTGCCAATTAAAAACATGGCCATGAATATTATAAATTTCTTCCTGATTAAAATATCGACTGAAATGGTTGTCAACATTGGAAGAATAAACAAAAACATTTCGAGCTGCTTTGTGTTGTTCCTCTTTGAACCACTCAGAGTCAGAGAGTAAAGTTTTTTGTTTTTCAAAAAATTCTTTTGGAATTATTTTCTTGTTCAACAATTTTTCTTTCCATTTTTGTAATATTTCATAACCGGAATGTGAGGAAGTTTTAGAATAAGTTTGAGCACAATGAATCCAAAATCCATAATATTCTAATAACATTTCATCACAACATGAAACCGGTCTTGCAAGGTCATGATATTCCAAATTCTTTTTTTTGTACACGTGATGATTTGCAATATCTTTGTAGACGGCTAGTCCAGAATCTTGTGAAAATCCAGCTCCGCAAGTGATGAGAAGAAAGGAAGCTTTGGAAATTATTTCCGCAGCTTTTTTAATAAGAGTATTGTTTTGACACCTCTCCTCTGAGGAGCACAATAATTCGCAACGATTGGAGTGAATCATTTTTTTTTCAAAGAACCACACTGTCCTGTTCCCAAAGTGCTGTAGAGAATTTTTAATTTCGTCGTTGCACGTTTGCCTTGTGCAATTCAGAAAAACCAATCAGTGGCCACTTTATTTATGTTGTGAGTCCTGAATGGAAGGAGGTGGTACCAGATAGTAAATGGAGAGAATATCTTCTTTGGATAAGAAGGACAATACGCTCTGAGAAGATTGTGAGGTCATGGCACATGATTGTGCCTTCAATAATTTCAATCGTTCAATTTCACTATTCACTAACAGACATAGTTTGGCTTTGATATAATTTCGTTCCACTTCTTGTAATTCTAATATTAATTGACTGTATAACTTGTTCACTCGTCCAAACCGAATACTAAATATTGTGAGTACTTTGAGTCCTTTTTTGATCATTTCATAATAATCAACACCATCACCACTTAAATTTTGTCGTTTCCCTTGTTCAATTTCCTTAATGACTTTTAAATGAACTCGGCAAGAAGCAGCCACAGCACTAAGCATGATTGGATAAGCGACACCAAATTTATCTTCACATGCAACATCAATGACCGCATTTGCTGACTCTTCCACCATGGGTCCTGTCGTAATTCCACATTCTTGTAAAATGAGAAGTCGAGTTCCGTGGTTGAGAGCCAGCCATACTCGATTGGACATTTGACCTTGTTCATCTTTCAAATTTCTATTGGTTTCGTGTTGATAGAATAATTTTGAAACCAATTCCAACAATGTTAAATACAATTTGACAGTATCCGTAGTAATTGTTTTGAAACAATAGAAAGTAGAGGTTTTGGTGCTTGTTTGGCTCCACTACACATTTTGTAAAATCCAATCAATAAATTTCCAATATCGGCCTTATCCGAATGCTCTTCAGTGGTTGTTGTTATTGTGGTCGTTGTCGTTGCCAATGTCTTCATGGAAGAAGCAGTCGAGTCAAGAGATTCTGTCTCCTTGACAGCCATTCCACATGCCATTTCAGCCACATGTTTCAACATTTTCAAATGATACGTATTCACGTGAACAATATGATCGACGGTTGTGTTTTGTTCCGCTTGATCCAAATAATAATCAACAAATTGTAAGAAAAATCGAGCTTCGTCTAAATTTCCCTCTCCACTACAGTACATGCTCAAATTACAATACGAACAGGCCACTAGAAAATTCTCATAGGTATTAAATACTGTAGATAGAATGGATTTGGCTTTTTGATGAGCAGATTCAGCTTCTGATTTAAGTCCTTTTCTTTGGCACATTAAGGAGTGAATGCTATACAACAAGGCACTTGCCTCTGCTTGTTTCTTTTCATTTTGTAGCAGACTGGAAACCGACTTTTCATCGATGAGAGGAAAGCTAGTGGATTTACAATAGTCTTCGAGCGTTAAACGTTTCATTAACTGTTCTGTAATGTCATCGATGGATACAAGATTAGAGGAGTTTAACGTGATGGCAGTAGAAACAGTATTCATGTTTGGATCATGTTCAATCGTATTTGGATCATGTTCAACCATATTTGATAATTGAAATAGGCTACTTATTGAATCTGAGGTTAGAAATGAATGTAGAGTATGGACATTATTTGTTTCATCATTGTTTTGCAAAGATGATCGAATTTGAAAAAGTAAATTCTCTGGATGGTGTAATGGATTGGCATTCCATTGGTTTGTTGGATATTCTGACAGAGAGACATTGAAGGATGGAATTGAGGTTGGTTGTTGTTGCAATGGTTGAGGTGGTTGTTGATTTAACAGGAGCCATAATTGAGAATTTTGTAATTGAGTTTGTGCTTGATTGAAGAGTCCAAAATGATCCAACGAGATTGTACTATCATGTCGTATAGTACTATCATGTCGAATAGCACCATCATGTCGTATAGTACTATCACTCGTTGAAGATGGTTGTCGTACGAGAAAGCTTGGTAGTGCTTGCTGTTGAGTGATCAAAGCACTACTCGTCACATTGAGATCTTCTTCAATCCTATCATTCTTTTGATCCTCACTTGTTTTTTGATCATCATCCAACGTTGGATCTTCATAATCTTCTTGCAAATTGGATTTTCCATGTTGTCGACCTTTTTTTCGTGGTTTTCGATAGACACATTCAATACCTCTTAGAGCACAATAGGAACATGTGGGAAGTTTCCTATCACACTTTCTGTGCTTAATGCGACAAGAAACACAAGAAATTTCAAAATGGTTGGAATCAGTTCCTGATGTTAATGAATTAGAGGATTTTGTTTGACCATTTTCTTCAATAAATAATAATTGACGAGAGGATTGTTGCTCGTTGGGCCTAGATGGATTATAGTGTGGAGAGGTTGAGTGTGACGTTGCAGCAGGATATGGTTTGAATGTGAGTGTAGTCGTTGTTGTTGTTGTTTGTTGTTGTTGAGAAGTGTTCATATTTTTCACACTAGAAGAAACATGTTTTCGTTTTGAAGATTTTGGATGTGTGTTCGACCTGTTGGTGTTGCCATTCGTATTCGATGATTGTGTCGTCATGGATGTGACACGAGTATTATTCGTTTTTGGTTGAACATTTGTAGTGGATGATTCATTTAATTGATCATGATGTGTGGTTTCGATTGGTGATGGAAAATTATTGTAGCTCTTCGAGGGATGAATATTTAATAAAAAGTAATTGGAAATATTAGGAGGTGATGATGGAGATGTTGTTGAATGAGTAATGGGATGAGCATATGCACCATCTTCACTACACTACTGCCAGTACTACTACTTGTATTGGCTGAAGAAGAGGAATTTGATGAAAATGTTGATCCTAGCACACCATGGAGTGAAGATGGATCCTCCAATGCTGTGAGTGATGATGATGTATGATGTGAGTTCTGATTTGCATGTGGATGAGAGGAAAAGGCACCACCATTGAAGTTGTCGACGGTTAAAGGTTGAAAATGATGATCGAGTGAAATTGGTTTCGGAATTGGTTGATTGTGGTGTGAGCCTCCGAGCATACTAGTCATTGGTTGATGATGATCATAGGTACCATGAGGTTCCCATACGGTGGTGGTTGGAATTTTGTTCGGAGTCGTTGTTTTGCTGCGAGTGATGATGTCTGATGTTTGTGGAAAGTTGCTTTTACTTGGCATATTTTTATTTGAAAGAATCAATTCTTGAGCTTTGGACAACGTTTTTAGAATGCATTTATGCATCTGTGATTGATTGCATTGAAAGGAGCTAAGGCATGTACTAGTCGTTAATTCCATTGCAGCCCCGAGAAAGAGTTAAATTTTCAAACGTTTACTGGTTGGACCACCAAAACAAGCCTGCTTCGAGATAGAAAATTTAGTGATAAATAACAGGAACCATAGCTCAGCGGTTAGAGCATTGGATTGCAATAAGGTTTGCAGCAGCTATCCGGTGGTCGCGTGTTCGATTCACGCTGGTTCCTAATTTTTTCTTGCTCTCAATGTTCAATTTTCGTCTGGACTGTAATTTGCTTTCGTGGAGTTTACTTAATCACATGGTTGAATTAATAACTAATATACACTTTACTCAAAACCATCCGACATGGATTCTTCCAGTGCTTTTCTCTTTTTAATATGAGAATAAATTCCAACGTAGGCCACAATTCCAATACTTGCCAATGCAATCAATCCACCAAAATAGCCAACAATATTGGAGCCACTAAATCAGAATCAGTGGTGACTACACTTTCTGTGGACGTACAAATCCATTTGCTCAAATAATCATTTCTAATTCTAGCTTGAATATCAGAAGGGAGTGGAACAAAAGTAGAAGAAATAATAAACGCCTCAGCCTCAGATGAATAAAGGAACATGAAGTATCGATAGAGAACTTTGGCAGCGTTACATCTGTGTGCACAATGTTGAACATGGGATGAATTCGAATAACAACAACAATTTCAAATGGTTCACATAATTACAACAATATAAACATGAATTCACAACAACAAGAAGAACAACAAAATGACATTCATGGATCATGACAACAATAACAACCACCACTACTTACTCTTCCATGGATTTGCTCTTATAAATCAAATAAGAATAGCCTGAAATTGGATAACTATTTGCACCAGGCGCATTCACGATATTTGCAGTGAAACGACTATCGAATGCATCTTTGAAATCAGACATGGCACTTTTACATGTTTCTTCAGTGGCAGCAACAGCATTTCCAGCAGCATTAATGATTGAAGCTGAAGGTTGTTCAATAATGGAATCAGGTGTGTTGTATGCAATGGTATAAGCATTGAGAAGGACATAATTAGCAACTCCAGAACTTCCTTTTTGTTTGGAAATATTGGATGAATTTTCATTGGGCCAAGTGGTAGCAGATGCGACTGTTCCGAGAGGCCATGTAGTGGCTCCATTGGAAGCAAAAGCGGTCAATGCACTTGTGAATAATTCAGTGGTGCCTGAAGAGTCAGATCGTACGACACGCTTAATAGGTTGATTTGGTAATTTACTGGCGATGGAAGGATTCAGAGCAGTAATCGAAGCATCATTCCAATTACTAGTAGGTTAGTTTAAACAATCATTGGGAAATTTGGAGTGTATTTATATTTGCAAATATATTGTCACAATAATAAATACAAGGGTTGTGATGTGTCAACATTAAGTTCAATACACGGAAAATTCGTTCCTATAAAAGTAGTTTATAAATATAAAAAAAACTTACGCAATTCTTCCAGCAAAGATATCCACCAATACTTTTCGATCCAAAATTAATTTGTCAGAACTGGATAATTCTGGTAAATGGTAAATGATTAAAACATTGACTCCAATGAAAGGAAGTACTTGAAGTCCTGGTACTTGATCGTATTGAGTTGTAGAAGGAATGACTTCACTTCCAGCATAATCGAATGGGTTGCTTGTGAAGGGAAGTAAATTTGTAATTCCAGTACTACTGCCTACAGGATTGTAAGTGAGTTCAATGTTATTGGTAAAGTGATTGATGGAAAATTGTTGACTCAGTGATTTACTGTTTCAGTTCGAGACCGTTCATTTGTTGTCATATTTTGCATAAACGCACAACAAGATCGACATTTCGAATCCAACGAGAAATTAACACATTTCAAACACTCCATAGAAATTATACCTACTGTACTCCTTCGGATAATGATGAACCACCTCCTGCAATCTCAACGTTTGAAGCAGGAAAACTGGCTGTGACACAGCATGTCGTCATGATTTGTAAAGAGAGAAGAGTTAAAACCACTGCAAGAGCAACTGAGAACGTTCGAGAATGAAGCATGTTTTTGCGGAGGAGATGATGTTGGGGCATTTTGTTCACTGTGTGAATTGTCTTTTCTGTGAACTGAATCACCTTTCCGATGCACATGTGAACGCGGTTTTTTCCTCTTTGGATCAAAACAAGAACGTTGGGGAGCATTCAAACAAAGATTATAAAGAAATCATGAGAATACTCGACGTTTACTGTTCTTCATCATAGATAAAAGAATAAGTATCTCTTGGATCTTTGAAAGGACAATCAGGAATAAAGATAACATCACCATCCTCATCAATTGTTTCTTTTGAGGCTGGTTTGTATTCTTCCAACTCCTCAAATTTGATATGTTTGAGCCAAAAGGCACGATCCATAGATTTAAGGAACAGCCATTCATATCGATAATTATTTTCAAAGCTATGATCAATTGCAACAAGACTGTTCACAAAATCATCGAGTTCTTTGTGAGTTTTGAATTTCTTTTTGTTTTCTTCCAAGTTGAAAGCTTTCCTAAAGCTGTCACTCATTTTGAATACCAAATCGCTTTGTCCTTTTGTTTTGAGTTTTTTCAGAAATTCACCAAGTGGTCCTTCTGATAATTTATCTCTCGATAAACCAATATTATGAAGCACATCATCCACAAAGTCTTGACAATTTCCGCTCTTTCCAGGTTCAGTGTCTCGTTCTTTATATTGCATTGAAGTATTCCATTTTACAATTACTGCACTAAGCTTTTCGACAACTTTACGAACATCTTCATTTGTTTGCAATTGTTCAATATCGGCAGATAACATGGCTGCAGAACTAACACATTTTCTTGGTACACAAATTGCGCTGTTATTCCATTCTATTAACCAAGGACTATGTTACATTAGTACCACAACGTGATTTTAAATGAAAACGACTCGTTTAACTTAATGTGTGAGTTGAATTAAACATACCCTATTTGAATAGCAGAGTGAAACATTCCTAACTCTGGTAACATATCCAGTCTACTGAGAATTGGTGACATCATTCTTCGGAAGGCTTTTCTTCCCTTTGTTCGAGCAATCTCTGAAATCACAATCTTCACTTTGACAGTATTTTGCTCGAGAATCTTATTCAAATTAGGATCTTTGGTACCAATGATTATGTCTTGCTCGTTTAGAATATCATCATCCTCTTGATCTTCGTCTTCGTTTACATTACTTTGTTTCATTTGGTTAAGTTCATTATCAACGTTAGTTGATACCATTGACTTCATTCCGCTACTACTACCGCTTGATGAGAGGTGTTCCTCATCTAAGCCTTTTGATTGTTGCAACATTTTCCGAGCAAGTTCTACTGTGTCCAGCCATTTTGTGGTGAGGTAAGTTGCTCTGAGTTTTTCTTCTGTGCCCAGCACTTCAGCAAATTGCCTCATAATGTTAATATCTTGAAGCCTTGCTCTGTAAATATCATTGTTTTTAAGTTTTTCCATAATATGTTCAATTCCCTATGTATATTGATTCGGAGTAGTTAGATAGGTTAGAGTTATCATTTCATGGTTGTGTAATTGTAATACAATTCATCAAACGACGGTCATCATTGAGTATTTATCAATTGATTAAAATCACGGTTTGTAGATTCCATATCATGTATAGACGATCGGACAAGGTTAAGATCAACAAGATTGAGTATTTACAAGTTCATCATTCCGATATCATCACAGCGAAAATAGATTAAAAAACAACATACTTTTTCATACATTTCCTTGCTCTTTGCCGTGGTAGTACTTTCAGTGGTGCCATTTACAGAAGGATGGGTTGAAACCGTTGTTGTTGTCGTAGTAGTATTAGTGTTTGTAGATGCATTGGTAGTATTTGTTGTTGTTGCTGTTGTGGATGATTTTTCTGATGCTCGTCGAGCTGTTTTTGATCCCTTTACACCCATTTTTTATTGGTTGCTGTTGAGAGGAATTTTAATAGAATCCAATCCAATACAACTAGCAAGACCAATCACATGTGGATGGTACTCGTTTTTGTGGAAACATATTCATCATACTTCGCTTTGACCTCCAGGAGTAACATGCCCCAAAAGATAGGTGTGCTTGAGGTATCAAATTCAAATAAATCATTGATTGCAAAAAAAATGAAACAATTCTTAGCCTCCCAAAGAGAAAAGAAGGAACAAGAACGAAAAGTACAACAACAAGCTCGGCAAGAATGGATGCAAAAACAAGCAGGCAACGTTCATAGTTCCGAGCCATCATCATCTTTGAAAAATTCTTCAGTTCATAAGAGCAACAGTGTTGCTACTCCTTCTCAACCACAATCCAATGCTCTCATCTACTCGGGAGCCAAGTCCTTCCGAATGAGAATTATTCTCTCTACTATTTCAAATAGGCCTGTACAAATCAGAAACATCAGACCACAACGTGGTGGAATTCGAGAGTTTGAGCGTAATTTCCTTCTTTTAATTGATAAAATTACCAAAGGTTCTAAAATTGAAATTAGTGAAGATGGGGAAACAGTAACTTATAAACCTGGAGTAATTGTTGGCAGTGGAATTGGTTCTCTTGTGTTTGATTGTGGATTAGAAAGAGGTATTGCATATTATTTAGAAGCTTTAATTTGTTTATGCCCCTTTGGAAAGAATGCAAGTGACATTTTGTTAAAAGGAATTACAAATCATCCTTTAGATCCATCTGTTGACATGTACCGTAATTGTACTCTTCATTTATTTGAACATTTCACAAAGAAACATGCTCAAACTGTTCCGCCACAAAGTTTGCAAATACTTAAACGAGGTGCTCCTCCATTGGGTGGCGGTGAAGTTCGATTTGAATGTCCAATTGTTAAAGAAATGTTAAATCCAATTCAAATTCTCGACGAAGGAATGATCAAAAGAGTGAGAGGTATTGCATATAGTACAAGGGTTGCTCCAAATATTAGCAATCGTTTGGTTGATGGTGCCAAGTCCATGTTAAATTTATATTTACCAGACATTTGGATTCACACAGATCACTATAGTGGGAAAACAAGTGGTTCTTCACCTGGTTGGTCAATTTATTTGCAAGCAGAAACAGATACTGGATGTCGGTTGTGTACCGAATACATTCCAGATCAATCCCATGAAATTATTCCAAATAGCGTTGATTTAAATGGAGATAAGGAATGGATGAAAATACCAGAAGATGTTGGTAAACATGCTGCCAAGTTATTATTTGAAGAAATTCATAAGGGTGGTTGTGTGGATTCCATTAATCAATTTTTTATATTTTATTTAATGTCACTCACCAGCGAGGATGTTTCAAAGATTCGAATTGGAAAATTGAATCCATATGCCATTGCCTATTTACGACACATTAGAGATTTTCTTGGAGTTGTTTTCAAAATCTCTCCAGAACATGACTCTCGAACTGTGGTGTTGAGTTGTGTTGGAAGTGGATACAAGAATATTGCAAGAAAGAGTAATTAAAAAATTTTGTTTTGAAAATTTATTAGGACGATGCAATAGCTTTTCCAATGGTGGAATAAGGTATGGTCATGATTAAATAACCAATGACAACAAACACTAATTTCAAAAGGAATACATTTCTCTGAGTTGTTGTAATGGTGCTAGGTCTGCTGTCACTCGAATGCGAGTTGTGATGACCCGCTGTGGAGTGAGACAACCAACTCTGAGCAAGTTCACTTCTCAAAATGATCATGGTCGAGACATAAATGAAAAACCCAGAGCCAAGCCCTTTGAAAATGATTCCAAGAATTAAAAAGATCATCTTGTCTTGAACAAACCGCACCAATAAAATTCCAATAAAAATTCCAAGAGGTGTCATGGTGGAGAATATCAACATGGTGGGCATTATTCGATTCCAAAATTTCATGTTCGCTCTCATGGATTGTACTGAAATTGAAAATGCAGCAACCCATTTGTGTAAAATCATGGTACATATGAGAACATAGGCATCAGCAATATCTACAATAACACCAGAGGTAATTCCAATAAGAACACTCTGACAAGATAACACAGTTGAGAGAACATAGGAGGCTAATCGTTGTGTCGAGTATTGTTCATTTTGATTCACAGATTGAATGTTGTGAGATGTATGAATAAGATGTGTGTCCTCTCCTTCATTCACTGATGCATGATCGTCGTGACATGTCCTCTCTTTAACCACTTTCACAGTAAATACATTTAAAATATTATGAATTAAAAGAGGAATCATAAATCCTAAAGATGCAATCATGTAAGGAAATGAATTGTACTTGGAAATTCCATTTCCATTCAATACCACATTCAACTGTTTGAAACTTTCAGCAGCTGACGGTAAAATATGATAAAAACTTGCAGAGATGAAAAATCCACCCGAAAGACAATTAATAAAAGATAACACAAAGGATTGAACGTGTTCCGAACAAATTGTTGAACATTTAAATTTCTTAATGACAAAAGGAAGAAGAGCTCCAAACCAAGCGGATAAAAACACCACTGTTTGAATGTGTCAATTTCACAAATCATGAATTTGTCATCCATGCAACAACAACAACAATATTGAGTCCAATGTTCATTCACAAATTCCGAACGAATGAAACGTACCCAGAATGGCAATAGATTTTCCAATGAGTGATGTCAATGTTTCACCATTATTTCCAGTGCTTGGCAACATGGAGAGTACTCTAAAAAGTAATGCAATCAAGGAAAGTTAAAATTTGAAATCGATCAATACAAGTCGGAAGAGTGATGATGAGTCGACAACACACCTCACTTGCCAATTTTTTTTTCGAAAAGATCTTTGTGAAATTGCAACAGGAGTTCGCGCTCTTTTTGAAAACAAGATGCACAAGAGGTTGCATTCCAATTGTTGAAAGAGTCGAGTGTATGTTATATAATTATTATGCTCTTAATCTTTATTGAAATCTTGAATGTACTTCTTGTATTCATACTGTATTTTGGTTGGTGTAATGAGACTAGAACGGAATGGTGGATTGTCTCCATAACAGGCAGCCACAATATTCGTAAATCTACTATAATAAAGTAAGAGCTGTGTGAAGGTCTTATTCAAAATCTCCTTGCCAGTGTTGAAATTGGAAAAGTTTTGTAAAATATTGGAATTGATATGACTAATACCTTGCTTCCAATTCTTGTCAAAATCTTTTGCAAGTTTCTCCATTTCAGCAACATCTACCTTAGTTCTGTTTTGAATAAAATTCTTGTTAGAATCCCCATCATTCTTGCTATTTACATGTCCTAATTTAGGTTCTGTTTGTTTTACAAAGGATATCAAACCAGCATAACATTCTGTTAATTCCTCTTCAATATATGCGCTCACCTGAATGTTTAACAATTTTGAAATTGCTGTGCCATCAGCATTCACATCAATCTTGGAGAGAATAAAGTGATTGAGAATCAAATCATATGCATTGATGAGGAAAACTTGAATTTTCTTTGCTTTGGTGCCATACATCTTTTCAGAAACAAGAGTCAACTGTTTGGTGACAGCCTCACGAAGGGACGCAAGTTTGTGTTCAATTTCTTGTTTAAATTTAGGAGGGTTATCTCTATTGAGAGCGTGAATGGAACAAGCTAACTCTGCATAACGCTTAGCAAGTGTATGAGAATCCTTTTCTTTTGATACTAATTGCTCTGGTTTTGTCTCTGTAACAGACTTTAAATTCATTTCAAATATTTCGTTAAACTTTGGAACTAACAATTTGTGTACTTCGTCAAAATAAATATCCAAACATTTCATGTTTCTCTTTTCCATAAGTGATGAAAACATGAAATTCAATCGAATCATCAACATTAAACCTATGCAATCAAATGTTGTAGAAGTGAAACCAATCCATGTGTCTTTCAAAAATTGAAGAGATTTGCTGAAGAGTGAATCAAACATTTTGTCATTATTGAAAAAATCAACTGAGAAAATATACTCGCTAGTTGCTGTGTTAATTAAAAGGATGTGAACAGATCTGAAAATTTCTTCCATAAAGAATTTTTTGTTTTGTTCAATGGCAACTCTTGCAACTATGGGAGAATTCAAATCAGTAGCATTTTCTAATACTAGTGCTCTATCTGATAGAGTAAACACTGTTCGATTCATTTCCTTTGTTGCGTCTCCGCTCTTATTTGGTGTTCCTAACCCAACAGTGGATGCCAACATATTTGTTGTATATTGAAGTGGATTAATCACTGTAATATTTGTGATATTATTTAAGAGAGATACAGTAGGTTCAACGAGGAGACTTTGTTTCGTTCCTACTTTCTGTTCCAACTTGAGAAGGGACACAACATAGTTTTTGAAACTATTAAAATAGTATTTCCCAATAATATCTTCATAAATGGCACCAAGTTCTTCTCCTGTCTGTGGAGAATGTTTTGCTGCAAAATCGTAGTAATACTTTTTCTTGAGAAGAAGCTGTTTGATGAATTGAGTATTTGTTTTTGGCTTCTTCAATTCATTCAACTGTTGTAAGAGATATGTTCTAACTTTTGAAACTGCCTTTGTACATAGCCTATCTAAAAGAGGAAGCATATCATCACATGCCCTGATTGGTTTCTTAATATCATTTTGAATCAATGTAATATAATCTTTCTTTTCATCTAATACGAGAAGATGCTCTAAATAGGCATCATTCACTGGTTCGTCGCAAATCTTCTTTGTCAAATCAGGAGAGACAACGAGTTTGTCCACAAATACAGAAAGCTTTTGTTGAGCGGACTCTCTGTTACGTTTTTTAATGTTCATGGTAAATGATTGATCTCTCAAAGTTTTAATTTCTTCAGAAATATTTCCGAGTGATCCTTGGAAATTTTGTAACATGTTTTCCATTTTCTATTATTGTTAAAAGAGTATAGTAGACATATATTCAAAAAAACCACAATAATACACACACGAATTATGAATTCTTCTCATTACAACATACCTCTAACACAGAATCACATTGTTGTAACTGAACATGTAGGTCAGCAAGTCTTTCGCTCTCTTCAAGATCTAAATATCGTGTCACAAAAGAATTCACAAATACAATTTAAAATTACATACAGTCATCGATGGATTGAGTTTCAATTTTTCTCAAATCATCTTCAATGTGCTTTGAATACTCCCTCAAATCAACTCCATCTTGAATAGCTTTCTGTACTAGTTCGTCTTGTTGGAAAGCATTCAAATCAATTGTATCCAAATCACTAATCAGTTCTTCAAAATCATCATTGGTAATATCCAAGTCATTGACATCAAAGTTTACTTCACCAACCACTCCACTTCCTTCAATCATTGATGTTGGAGATCCAATTCCGTGATGTTCAACTTCACTTCCAGCTGTTGATGATCTTCTATCACGAGTGGAATTGGTTGAAACTCTCAAATGGATCGCGTCCGCAGTGTTATTATTGTTCGTAGGAGCCTCATGATGATCATCATCATCTTCAAAAAGACCCGACAATAGACTCTTTCTCTTCTTGTCGTTGGTTTCATTTCTACGAGTGAAAAAACTCATCACCTGACCTGTGTATCGTAGTGTGGTGTCCATTGGTAATGATGTTGCTGGATTGAGAGAAAGGCAACGAACACAAGGACGTCAAGGAATATTTTTAAATTATTTTTCAAAATTATTAAAAAAACGATATCGAAAATGGATAGGTCTTCTTCTCATCACAGTACCAGCAACAACAACTCACACCAAAACATCACGAGCTCTCTCCGAACACAACACAACAATACCTTCTCGATACAAGATGAGCAATTTATGAAAGAGGCTTTAAACATGGCTAAAAAAGCATTAACTGAATTTGAAGTTCCTGTGGGTTGTGTTATTACCTTTGAAAATAATATCATTGGACGAGGTTACAACAAGACCAATCAAACAAAAAATGTAAGTGTCATCAACACACTAATATTTATTGATCCACATGTGAAATTCACGTATTGAATAGGCAACAAGACATGCAGAATTTGAAGCATTTGATGACATTTTCAAAAACTTTTCTCATCTCTTGACCGATGCTTCATTCTTTTCAAAATGTACACTCTATGTCACTGTTGAGCCGTGTGTGATGTGTGCAAGTGCATTACTCATGCTAAGAATTGGAAAAGTAATTTGTGGATGTATGAATGAACGTTTTGGTGGTTGTGGATCCGTTCTTAATATTCATCGTCATGGAATTCCAAGTGACCAATGTTTTTTCAAGCACTGTCCCAACGTTGGTGATACAGTGACGAACCTCAATGAGTGTCTTCATTCTGCAGATGCAGGAAAGGATACCAATCATTCCAACCTCATCATCAACAACAACCGCTTGTACACTTATGAGTGTCTAAATGGCTTATTTGAACAAGAAGCAATTGAAATATTGCAACGATTTTATGAGCAAGGTAAGTATGAAATTGCGCGAATGCCTTTTCAAATACCCTATGAACATACCACTTGATCACTTTGTGCAATCAGAAAACCCGAGTGCTCCAATCCCCAAACCGAAACAAAAAGGGTCGACCTTAGAAACGGGACTAGTTTTGGCCAAAAAACAAAAACAGGACACCGGTTCAGTAACTTTTTAAACTAGGACTTTCCTTTTGTTGTAAGTTCGCTTTTTTGCAGTTGCTAGTAGTTGCTCAGCGCGCTCGTTTGCTGTGCATCAAAATGTGTCGCGCCCTTAAGCCTAAAAAAAATAGAACTGCAGTTTTTGCAATTTCAGAACTCATTTCTCAGTTCTGGCACGCGACGAACGCAGAATGGAACAAACACCTCAAAGCCAACAACAACAGCAGCAGCAGCATCCCAAGTTGATGACTCAAGCCTCGTTAGCTTCGACTTCCTCAAGAAAACTAACGGATGAAGATGATTCCAATTCAGTAAAGCAAATTGAGGTTATTAGTAATCCTCTCAAACAGAGAAAGGAATCTCAGCGTACTCTCCGGTCTGATTGCTCATCATCCTCACAATCAAGCCTTTTTCAACCGAAGACCGCCGGTGTAACCAAACAGACAAGCAAGCCGAACCTCAATAACAAGAGGGCGAAAATGAAACGATCATCCACGGTAACTGGAAGAGGCCTTATATCATCCAAAAGTTTTGTACCAATAACTCCAATAGGAGTAAGACCAACCGAACTCGAAAGCAAGAAAAAACATCCTAATTGGGTGCCAAAGATATCTTTTCAATGTACTGCTACGATTATTACCCTGTGCATTATTGCTTTTTCCTCTATTTCGATATGGGCAATAGCATTTGGAGTACATATTTCCTTGATGAAAAAAGATCGAAATGCATCAGTACTCGACAATACGTTATCCACCGCGAAGACCATTCAAGAAACCCTAAAAAGCCTTTCGCGAGAAGCCAAAGATTTACAAACCTCCCTTTCAACTATTGATACTATAGGAACTTTACGTTCATATTCTCATCTTAGATCCATTCAAGCATTGATCACACAAAAAGCACTGTCTCTAGGCACTTTGGTGGATGGAATTTATGTTTCATACTACAAGTCGGGAGACTTTCTCTCGATCACTCCGTCATCAAGAACAGAACCATTATTTTGGTTAGAAATGTACATCAAATCACTGACCGGAAAAGAAAATTACGGGAGGGAATATTCAGAACTCGACCTCTATTCATGGTTGGCAAATAGCACTGTTGAGATGACTCCAAAATCATCCAGAACTCACTCCAATATTGAAACCTCAAGTCTTGAAGCAATGTGTTATGAAGCTTCGAGCATTCTGCAACCTAAGCTAACGTCTCCGTTTGCTTTTGAATATTTTAGTGTTGATAACATTGGTGCCATTTCTGTTAAGCTTTCTTTTAATTCAACGGATTATGGCTGTATTGGAATTTTGTTGAGCAAGAGATATTTAGAAGCTCTGCTAAAACCATCACCATCACTTTCTGCAATTCAGGATGTACAGCTTTATTGAACAAATCTCCTATTGCCTCGTATGACTCACAGATTGACACGTCATTCATTGAAGGTTTTACTGGGAAAGTAGCTCGTTTAAATTTGGACACTATTTTATCTGTAGATTATTCAGCTCTACCTAGCTCTGAAAGCGGTATTAATTGGACTATTTTATGTAAAGCAACATCTGTGGAAACCTGGAACACTGTTTTTATGGCTTTGGTTGTAATAGCAGTTCCTATTTTGTCATTAATAGGTGTCTCTATTGTTTGGATTTGCTACAGGTTTATATTCTTTAAGCATATCAACCTTCTCTCGAAAGGATTTTCTGATTTGAAGAAACTAGAACTCGAATCAGATGCAGTGCTGCAAGCTTTAGAAATGAAAGCTTTCTGCTCTGAAGTCGCCTCAATACGAAACAATTTCAGAAATATTCACACAAACATTTCTTCGTTTACGAAATATGTACCAGTTTGCGTGTCACAAGAAGTGATACAGAACAAGAAAACAGCTGTACTTGGATTAGAAGACATTCTATGTGTGGTTTCTTTTTTGGACATCAAGGATTTTACTGCATACAGCGAAAAATTAACTCCTAATCAGCTAGTTAGGGTCATGAGCGACGCGTTTGAAGGATTATCAAGCTTAGTAGTTGATGGAGGAGCAGTACTTGACAAGTATATCGGAGACTGTGTAATGTCCTTTTACGAATGTGGTGCAGGGGGTATGCAAAATCAAATGAAAACAGCTTGTCAAGTTGCAATTGCTAGCGTACGATTCCTTAAATCCATGTGGAAAATATGGCGCCAAGAGGGTTTGCCTTTACTGGAGTGCAGAATTGGTTTGAACTGTGGTCCGGTCAAGAGAGGAAATTTTGGTAGCAATAACAGATTCCAATACACAATATTGGGTGACGTCGTAAACACAACCTCTAGACTAGAGGGCCTAAACAAGCGATATGGTACAGAAATCCTTGTTACTGATCCAATTTATCAAACTGTTAGCCAATTTCAAATGTTTGAAATTGAAGGAAGAGCCTTACAAGTTACAAAAAGCGAGCAGCGCCAATTTGAACTGTTTAAGAGCTTGAACTTTGCTGATATCACGCTCGATGAAATGATCTTTAGAAGAGTTGACAATGTTGCAGTCAAAGGGAAAGATTCATTCATTCCTATTTACGCTCTTGTTGATCGGTGTGATATTCCTGCAAAACAAGCAGAGATTTTCTTTGATCATGATTTGGCAATCTACAACCAAGGAATACATCTTCTACTTGATAAGCTCGATGTTAGGGGAGCCTTGGCAAAGTTTGAAGAAATTAGCTTGAAAGATAACTTGGTAAACCAAAAGATCCAGTTTTGCAAAGATTTGATGCTCAAGAACGAGTCAGAATGGACTGGGTTGCTGAAACTAGACGAAAAATGAAGGCAATTTAACCGGGTTCGAATAAACTTGTTTTCAAATAAGAGTCTGTTGTTGTGTTGATTCAGTGTTGTACGAAAATTGAGAAGTGCTGGTATAACTGATTGTTTACTGTGCAATCCGCAAACTCATTAGGGACACGCCCAAAGTGCCAGCTGTTACATGTGACTTCAGTTATTTACGGTCATCGGATAAAGTTTGTTGCACGGGATAGTTGTGCTCAGATGGTTGCATCAATTGTTGAGGAACTGTTGGTTGTATTTGAGCTACATTTTGTTGTGGAAGAACGACAGCAATCGTTTGGAGTGGCTTTAAACAAATTTCGATCGTCTTTTCCAACTTTGGGGTGATGTATCGGCCAGTATTAACAATGTCCATAAAGCCTGTGAAAATGAAATGTTTCAACTCTGAAAATTACATTGATGATGACCCGACTTACCTTTGTGTTCTAAAAACATTTCTACATTTCTTCTAAGATATTTGGTTTCATTCTCCTTGGTGATGATCGCTCTGAGCGCTGGTTTGACCACTTGTTCGAGATTTTGATTCATTTTGCTCTGTTGCAAAGATGGAATAAACAAAACAAACATGACGAGAAATACAGACAACCCCATGGTAGGCAAGGCAAGCCCAATACTCAAGCTAATAATGACCAGATACGCAATGGTGTATGATTTACTAATTTCGTAATGTGGAGTCAACACCGAGTTCAGTTGAGATAAAGTTTGATCAATGTCGGCTTTTGTGAGGGAATATTGTGAAAGAACGAGCTCAGAAGCAGATTCCGAACCGAATTTCAGAGATGATGATGAAGTTGCTTCAAAAATTGAAGTGTTGTTAGAGTAGGGTGATGCTGGTTGTTGATAGGGTTGTTGAGCCAACAAGTTCGAGTAGTACATGTTTGAGAGAGGTGAGTGGGTAAATGGTTCGATGAAATTTTTTTGTTGTGGATGATGAATTTCCAAACGATCGGGGATTGGAATTAGAGGAACCCCTGATAGAAACGTTTTGGAATGTTTACAGAATGAGCACCAAAATGAGTTGGAAATGTTAGTCTTCCTGTTGTACATGATAACATGGCCAGTAGACAACAGCAACGTTTTGCAACGTCATGAGCCAAAAAAAAATACGTCAACCAGGCAAAGGTGCGTGCAAATGGATTCGGAGCATAGCAGCAATACACAAGAAAATTTGTTTGAATCATCAAACCAACAACAAGACGATGATCTTTTTGGAGATTCAACCAGTGGGGATTTTTCCTCGTTTTTGGGATCTGACACAGGACTGGAAAACCTTTCTTTGAACGATAACAAGGAATCGGATAGTAAGGATGATGGAAAGAAATCATCACCCATACCTACCGATACCATTCAAATCGTAAATGATGAACCTCAAGTTGAATCACTCGAAAATACCATTGATAGCCACAATTCTTCATTGTCTGCAACTCACAATACGGATGATGATTTATTCGGAACTTCCAACAACGAGCCTTTTATGAAGGAAATTCCATTGAACGAAAATTCAACATTTTCAAATGTAGCTGAAACACAATTAATGCCCTCTACTTTGCCATCAGTCTTATCATCAAAGAACCAAACTTTAGAAAAAGAGGACGCATCAAGTCCTCCTATGCACTCTCCTCATCTTGACACAAATTCTTTCGGACAACAACAAGACCATCATCATGAGAAAACTCCTCCTCCATTGTCCTCTCCTCCTCCTCCTCTACTGACTACTGCAACATCAACCAGTGCAACCTCAAAGCCTTCGGTAGCCTCGAATCGAGGAGCTAATCGATATGTGAATAGTTTTGGTGGTAGTAGCGGCTCGAGCAATGCTGTTTTCACCCCACCATCACCACATCCAACCATGACAAACTCAACCACACACCATTTATCCATGAATAATCCTAGTAGTGGTGGTAATATGATGAATACAACTGGTAACATGCCAGCCAACATGACGAATCAAGCAGGCTTAAACAATGGAATGCCTCCAACAACATTGAACAACATGTCTTCTGCTGCAACGATGCCTCACCAACGTATGATGTCTTCTCCTCCACCAATGATGAATACCTTCCAACATAATTTAACAAGTAACAATAGTGGAATGATGCCCTCTACAAATATGATGACAAATAATAGTGGTCAATTCGGAAATCAAAATTCAATGATGAATTCTACATTTAATAATAATACTGGTATGAATACAAGAAACATGATGACACCTCCTCCCTTGATGGGAGGTGGAATGACACATCCTTCATCATCATTTCCAAACAATTCAGCTCAAGAAAATTATCAATTCAACAACCTACCACCATCCAACACGATGAACCAACAACATCAAGGCACAATGTATCCATCATCCTACCAACAAGGACGTAATAGCGTTTCACCAACTAATTTATTGAATCAAAGTGGGGCTGTAATGGATGGTATTGCTACGTCAAGAATCATGACAGGACATGCTTCCATGAATAATTCTCAATTTTCAAGCAACAATAACAGTGGAATGAACATGCTCAATCAATCACAATATAACACACACATGCCACCTTCATCTCCACAATATGGAATGACTTCTTCCACATTTAATACATCCTATGATCCATCTACAATGATGGGAGGAATGACTAATAACCTTCAAATGCACACGAACCAATTCGGAATGATGAATAACCCACAACAACAACAATATCCAACCATGTCCATGATGATGGGTATGAATAATCCACAAATGATGTACCATTCGCAAAGAGCCATGTCCCCAAGCTATCAACAAAACTTATTGCTTTCAAAGCAGCAATTACAACAAGAATATGAATTACGTATGAAACATCCAAGACCAATTTTTACTTTTACTTTTGGAGGTAAAATAATCACATCATTCCCAACTGCTCAACGAAAGGCTCCACTACACACAAGCGCTAATACATTTTTAGCTGGAAATAGATCACCAACAAATTTTCATGGTGATCAGACAAGTCAAGAATCACAAGGTGGATTTTACTATCCAGGTACTGTGAAAGTTCACAAATTGAGTCAAGTCCTCAGAATTGCTTGTCCAATGGTCAAGTCCTTGGAAGATTATCCAATTGGTAACATCTCTCAACAATTTGACAATGATTCTAACAACAGTACCATTTTGGATCATCTCATCAAGTACATGAATTTGAAGATTTATGAAAAACAACAAATTTTATTCCAACAATCAGATGATCAAGTGGTGGGAGAAAAGATGCTTTGGGAACTAATCAAAATTGTTGCAAAGAACGTCAATGGAAATATTGGAATGATCTCAAACGACATTAATGCTCTTTTGACCGTACTTTGTTCCAGCTCAACAACTCCAATGGATGACGTTGTTGTTACCTCAAGTTCTACATCAGTAGATGTTCAACCAGAACAAGTGATTGCATTACAAAACATGTTAATCAATGGACAAATCAAACAAGCTTGTCAATATGCTCAGAGTAACAAGATGTGGACTCACGCCATACTTTTGAGTAGTATGGTTGACAAACAGACGTATCAATCGGTAGTATCAAATTTTGCATTGAGCGCATTGAACCCAGGAACGCCTCTACGTACTCTTTATTGTACATTTGCAGGCAAACCATTAGATGCATTTGAATCTAATTCCATTGTTAGCACTGATCAATACGGAAACCAATATTCTTCACAATCTTCTCAAGATCAGCAACAACAGATTGAAAAACTATGTTCTCAATGGATTCAAAACTTATCAATTTTGTTCAATAATAGACAAGGAAAGGTATCTCAGGCAGCTATTGAAAAGTTAGGAGATGTGTTATGGAAAGATGGTTATCAAGTACCACAATCACACTTTTGTTATGTATTGGGAGATATTGCTACATTGATATCTGCTTTTGCCATGACTCAACCACCATCATCATTGGCGTCACCAGGAAGATCCACACCTCAATCACAAACTCAAGTGAATCAACAATTAATTACCAACATGATTGCCTCTACTTCTATTGTGAACAGAAGAGTTCTTCTTATTGCAGGTGATAACAAGCGAGATATTAGACACTATATTTCTGATGAGAGTATGCAGTTGACTGAAGTGTTTGAACTCTTAAAGTCCATCATGACAAGAAATATTTTATCAAGTTTACAAAATGATTCACAACAAATTCCTCCAGTTTCCTTGTTGATGAATTCTACTCTATTATCTTACAAATTAATTTATGCATATTATTTGGCAGAGTTTGGATATTTGGATAAAGCCAACGAATGTTGTGATTATTTGATTGATGTGGTTAAAAAGACACAACAAAATGTGAGATTTGGAATTTCATTCAAGTTGCACCTTCAAGAATTGAAATTAAGAATTCAAGAGTCATCCAAACTCACTGGTGCTCCAGTTTCATCATTGAGTGCATCGTCAAAGAAACAAACGAGTGGAGGTGGAGTGACTGGATGGTTCATGAGAGGTCTTGAAAGCATTATTCATGGAACAGATTCTGAAGAATCATCACCCACAGCCAACCTTTCACAACCCATGGGTCATTCCATGTCCATGCCAAACATTGCTGTGAATAATAATAATGGTGGTATCATGATGGCAATGCCGGGCATGGGAAGCATGACCTCCTCACATCTTCATCATCAACCAAACAACACTATGCTACACACACGACCAGCCAGTTATACTCCTCCACCGACTCAATCACACACTTTGACACCACCACCTCCATCCTTACATCAGACCTCACAAACACCACCACCTCCATCGTCACACGCAGACCAAAATGCATCCAATAATAGTGGCAGTAGTGGAGTTTCATCTTGGTTTAAAGGATGGTGGGGAGGATCCTCTTCAAAATCATCCTCTGGTAAAAAAGAAGCCAATATTGGTAGAAAGAATGAATTCTATTATGATGAAGATAAAAAGAGATGGGTCAGAAAAGGACAAGAAAATGAAGTGGTTGAACAAGTGACTGCACCACCACCTACTCTTGCATCCATTCCTTCGAACAATTTGCAATCTGCTGCTTCCCAATTACGTGGTGGAGCATCACGGTATGTGAATATGTTTAGTGGTGGTGGTCATCCTCATGCTGGTATGAACACTTCTTCGATGACCATGCCTTCTAGTTCATCAACTCCACCACCCATGATGATGAGTCACTCTTCTACTCCTCCACCACCATCCATGAGTATGAGTACTACTTTCACAAATTCGTATTTCATGCCACAACACACCCCAACCACCACTGGAGGTGGTTATGAAATGCCATCCACAACAACGGACTTTAGCATGTCCATACCTCCTCCTTCAACGAGTAGTACAAGCACAGTTGGAATGACAAGTTCACAACCACCACCACCAACCAGCAACATGTATTAATATAAATTCATGAATACATTGGTTGTGGTCATGCTCACATCTTCAAAGAATTTGAATCATCATAAAAACAATTTTCATTCAAAAAAAAATTGAATTCATTTGCTTGCTCATCGTTATTCTCACTCACTCATCGGATCGCCTTCCACACATGCCCAAAGTCAGAGAATTAAAACATCACGAACAAAAACTTCTCAAAAAAGTTGATTTTTTGAATTGGAAATCGGATGGTGTTACTCCCGAATATAAAGAATATATTTTAAAAACTATTCAAAAATATCAATTGCGTGATCAAAAAGAATTTTTCAATTATCAACGAATTGCAACACAAATTAACAACACTATCAATAACATCAAACAATTAGATGACAAACTCTATAGAGATTTTAAAGTGAATCAACTCGTCATGCTCGGAAAAAAATTATTTGATATGGGAATTTTAGATTCTGAAGCTGAAATTGAAACCTTGAACAAAATAACTGTTGGTCGTCTGTGTAGAAGAAGAATATCGTACTTGTTAAAGGTGTTACATTTTGCAGAGAGTGTTCGATTGGCGAACATGTACATTCAACATGGACATATTCGAATTGGTCCTGAAGTGGTGAGAGATGAAGCCTTTCTTGTTTCTAGAAATTTAGAAGATTTTATAACTTGGACCAACAAATCCAAGATTAAGACAACCATTCAGAAATTCAATGAAACCTATGATGATTTTGATGCCATGTTAGAATAAACTCTTGTTACATGCAGCAGACCATATGCAACGAATGAGAAAATATTTTCTTGTTACTGAAATTTATCCAATGTCACACGGTGCGTAATGTGTTATAAACTTGAAAAGTCTTTGAAGTGGTCAAATTGAGCTCATTTTCCAAATCCATGCAAAGTCTATCTACCATTCATTCGACCTGTCCATTTAAAGTATTTAATAGTATTCAATTATTGTACGTTCATGAATGAACCTTAAAACTTGTTCACGATCCATAGTTCAATAAATAATGAACCACCAAGATATACAATAACACAAATATCAATCCAATTAAAAATAGAATAATATTCTCTTTGAGACCTCCATAGTGATGCCTCCAATGTTTCATCATTGTTACATTGTATTGATTTGAAAATTGTTTCTCAAATAATTGATGATTACTATTTTGAGGAGTTTTCATTGATGATGGAGTAGAGATTAATAATTCACAATTTTCTAACTTTGGAGGACTCATTCTTTCGAAATGATCATTCATAGATGAACTATTCGATGACTTTTCATTTGATATTCTCTTTTCACTATTCATGATTAATTCTTTTAAATAGAGTGTTTTTTCAATCGTTTCTTGTGGAGATTCTTCACAATATTTTTGTAATTTGTTTAATTCTTCAATGGTTGTAGAATATCCTTCCACTTGATATTCTTGATGTGTTAAATATGGTCCATATTTAAATTTTGATGTTGTTTGCATGGATAAAGATGGATCATAAAAATCTTGACCTGCATTCAAAGTACGAGATGAAATCCATGTGTGATGATTTGAATAACAATTGTTATTGACATTATTGGATGAATGAAGAGTAGGAGAAGGGGTGGTATTATTTTTCAATGCACCACAACCACAACCACCTCCACCACGAGACATTGGACTTTTCAAGGAAGCAGTAGTACTAGTAGTAGTAGTAGTATATTGATCATCATCATGATTGGAAGTAGTAGTATTGAAAAGAGTACAACAAGAGGTACAACCTTGATTCCTTGTTGGTGTTCTTGTGAAGAGTGGTGAATGATGATGATTCGGAGAGGAATGACGAGGACATCTCGATGAGGCAGAGTCATCAACCTGTGATTGCGCCACCAACGACGAGAACATTTTTTGAGGCGGAATCAATCGGTATTTATTGAATATCATAATCATGACGAAACAAATTCATCAATGAAAAAAATGCAATTCATGGTGTTCTTTGGTGTACACTGGTACTACTACTACTCGTCGCATTATCGCCATGCTCGAATATTCTAGCCATGACGGTCATGATAGCCAAACCTTTGAATCATATGGTCAATGATCGAAAAAATCAAGGTCATTCTCATTTCACAATGAATTCCATGAACACTCAACGATCATCACCACCTCCACACTCATCACCCATTTCAATGATAGATCCAATGTTATTACAATTTCCAATTTATCCATTCACTCGTCCTCTCACTCTCTCTGATAAGGGTAAAGATGTATTTCTATTACAATTACTTTTATTGAGACATTCTTATTGTCATGCCCGATATGGTGGTAATCAACAGAATTTATGAGTGGAATATTCACAGATCAAACATTGGATTGTTTAATTCAATTTATGGCCTCTCAACACCTAGTTCCATTGAAACATGAATTGACACCACAAACTGCTTTTCATTTACTTTTACTCTATTCTTATGATCAATACAAAGATGAATATGTGAAATTTAATTCAAAATTGAATGAAAGTGGACATGGTGGAGAATGGATGAATTCAACTCTTCAATTACCACAACCTTACAAGTATTATGTTCATGTTCCAGTATATTCCAATCGTAGTATTGAAACAACATGTTCACTTTTTGATAAATTTGGTAATAAGAGACATTTCTTTACATGTAGAACACATGGACAACAAAACTTTAATGAATTTACAAGTGATGGTAACACCCCTACTGGATTATACACCTTTGATTTAAATACACCTGAGGATGATCCAAAAGAATATGGTCCCTATGATGTCAATAGAGCGGTCTATGGTCTTAAAGGCAATGCTTTCTATATTTATCCAAAGATTCGAAGTGGAATTTTATTACACACTGGTGAATGGTCAAGCTATCATCCAATGCCTAACAGTCATGGTTGTATTCATGCTCAACCTCAAGATATTGAGAGAATTGCTCAAATTTTGAAAAATGATTTGGGAGTGGTAGCTCATGAAAATTTATTTGGAAAGGTAAGTGAGAATACATATTGGTGTGCGTGTGTGGTGTGTGTTAAAATTAGTTCTTATATGTTCTTATATTTTCTTATATTTTCTTAAATTTTTTTGGTTGTTGTTCTTCCATCTTTCATTTTTGAATGTTCCGTGAAGTACCCTTATCCATTCCAACAACAAGGTTTATTAAGTGTTGTACAATATAGTCATGATGATGAATTGTAAACTTTAATAAAGAACATGACTGTAACTGTGGATTGACCTTACAATTATTGAACAGCATTCATTTACTTGTTAAAAATTTCTAACAATAATTGAACAATGAAATGATACGGAGTCTCTGATAGATAAAAACTAGTTTTGATCATGAAAAAGATCATGGCAGCCCAAAAAGTGAAAAAGAATCCCCAAATAAAGAATGTTCTTTTGATAATTTGCCAATAATAGTTGGTAGTAGTATTTGATTCCATGTTGGATTTTTCAGATTCTTCATCGACTGGTTCTGTGGTTTCAACAAGACCTGTGTTGGAGCTGGTACTACTACTAGCAGTGACTGGAGTATTCTTTTTTTTATCATTTCGCTTATTCCGAGAGAGTGTACCATCCTTTGTAGAAGAACTCGTTCGAGTAGTAGTAGTCGCTGTTGTTGTTGTTGTTGCTGTAGTAGCAATAGAAGTAGTAGCAATAGAAGACTCACCACCCTGTTTTGCATTCTTCATTCTTAATTCTTGACCACTATAAGGAATGGCAATAAAATAAAAAGCTGACACTACCATGACAATCATTGCAAAATATCCTTCCAATGCAAAAGACATTCTCATGGATGGATAGAAAAATGTAATGGATTTTTCATAGGGATTAAATTGATAAGGTGGAGGATTTTGAATTGCATTAAATACAGTTCCAGCCATACAAACAATATAAATAAATATACATAACATGAATAGAGCATATTTTCCAAATGGTAATAAACCTTGTAATGTTGAAACACCAATAATAAATCCAGCAATAACAAAACCAATTAAAAATATTTTGGAAAATGAAGAGAGCATGGAAAAGAGAGATGCAGTACTACTACTACTAGTAGAAGTACCACCACTACCACCACTACCACCATTACCACCAGAATCACCCACTTCCAATTCAGATTGATATTTGGTATACAATTCCTTCACATATTCAAGATCAATAAAATCTTTCAATTCCGAACTCAATTCTTCATCATCTTTGAGTGCCATTTTAACACAATCCCACATTTGTGTTTCTCTCAAATTGCAATCCAAAGGTTTTAAATCATTAAATTTAGATTGAATATTAATACTTGGTAAATGAGTCAATTGTAATGTTTCAATTAAAAATTGTTGAGATTGAGGTGTAAATTCAACAAGTATTCCTTTGATATCTTTTGGAAATGATTCAACATATTTCACAAGTAAATCTCGATAGAGTTTACAATGAAGACATTTATGAGATGTTTCTTGTTCTTTGGTAAATGTTGCAAGAGTAATGATGTGATGAGTGGAACGATATTCTTTGAGAAGAGATTGATATTCTTGTTTGGTTGTAATTTGATGAATGAGTGTGGATGATGAGGAGGTGGTGGTGGCATGGAAGGATGATGTCGTGAACAAGATTAGAATGATGATGATGATGGAAATGAATTGGATCGTCATGATCATTGGGTTTACTTTAATGCTAGGAGGTGAAGGATGAATGATGGGACGACCTACGGATGGATGGGTGTGTTTGTTTTGATAAATAAAGAATTATTCTTTCTCTCTAGAGAATTTGGTGGAAAAGGCTCAGTCTGGCACAACACGTGTCTCTATGGCTGCTAGAGAGAGAATGGAATTTTTTTGTTGTTGTTTGAAAGATGTTTTCAAAAAAAATTAAAAGGATCACAAAAGATAGAATGACACAAAAAATTGTTTCAAACGAAGATTGTTTCATTCAAGCTGTCAATATTTCCGATCATTTAGATTTAATTTATTCCTATGAAAAAGAATCCTATCCTGAAGATGAAGCTGCCACCTATGAAAAATTAAAATATCGATTATTACATGCCAATGATGTTTTTCGTGGCTATTTTCGAATGGACACTCTCGATCGTCCTCATGTTGGTTCACAGGACACAACGCAACAAACCACCAACATGACGGATTTAAATCCCTCCAAACCAGTACAATTGATTGGATTTGTATGTGGAACGAAAACAAGTCATTCCACTCTCACTCATGACAGCATGTCTGTGAATGATCCAAATGGAAGGACACTCTGTATTCATTCAGTGGTGATTAAAAAAGAATTTAGAAATTGTGGATTAGGTCTTCACATGTTACAATTATATTTAAATTATTTGAGAGAGAATCATATTTGTGATCAAGTATTACTCATTACAAAGAAACATTTAATTCATTTCTATGAAAAGGCAGGATTTAAATTGAATGGTGAATCCAATGTGGTTCATGGTCAAGAAAAGTGGTATGAATGTGAATTGTTATTGATCTGAATATTTGAAACTTTAAAGAAGAATACATGATGTACTTCAAAGAATGTTGTTGTTGTTGAATTGTTGTTGAATTGGAGAGAGTATATAGTAAATATTCAAAACTCAATCGATCGTTATATATTCTCTCGTGTTACTCTCTCAATGGATGTAAACCTTCCATTGACACTTATATTCTCATCACATTGTGATGATACTCACTCAAAATATGGAAATATTGGAATACTATTGTAGGATTCATTCTAACATTTCCTTTCAATTCTGAAATGAGGGAACCAGACGAAGAGCTAAAATGGAAACTCGCAATTTCGTCCTCACCTTCTTCCATTCGATTATTTTGTGCATTAGAATTCACTATGAAATCTCCATTTTGTTCACCGTGTGAAAAATCCATGTGATCCAAATGATGAGATTTTGTTGCTTGTGAAAATACTGATGATAGAGATGTCAACTGAGAGGTTTCATGATTCATGAACTGAATAGATTTTAAATGGCTGGTAGTACCAGAAAATCTTTCTTGACTCGAATGGTTATTTTCAATCAGCAATGGTTTCGTATCAGCATGATCACTAGTGTCCAATGGAGATGTCATATTGCTCTGAGTGGTCACCACTCTGTATTTAGTCTTTGTGTAATTACTACTCGATGGTTTGGAATTAAAAAGGGAGTGCGGCGAGTGGTCAGAATTATTTTGATTTCTACAAGTAGTGAGGTTGTGAGTTTTTGAATGTTTAGAATTCAAACTTGTCTCTTCATGAGGCATTGATACCTTCCTCGAGGATTGTGAGTTGGATGATTGTACATTGGATGGTTGAAAGTTGGATGATTGTATAATAGATGGTTGAGAGTTGGATGATTGTACATGGGATGGTTGTGAGTTGGATGATGGTAAGATCTCACTCCTTAAATGCGTTTCAATATCTGGCCGTATGGAGTGTGATGGTGTTACTAATTCTTTCATGGTCTCAACTCTGAGTCTATTAAGATTTTCATTCGTGTCGTGATGAATCGTCTGATTTGGTGATAACTCTATACAACAAGATCTAATGACTTGTCCAATCTCTTTCAAGTCTACTACATGTTGAGCATGTTGAATGATTACAGAAAGATTCAACAAGATGGTTTGAGTATTCAAATTTTTCATGATAAAGTAATCAATGCTTTTGGCAAGTATGTACAGTCCATACAATACATGTTTCTCGCATGCAGTTATTTCTCTACCATCGAAAGTAGTAGCTGTGGTCATGCTATTCATGCAAAAAGATGGTTCTTGGTTGCAACAAGGTGTGGTGGAATTACTCTGTACATGACTCAACGTTGAGTGGTTATCCCAACTTGCAACAACAGGATGAGATGGTCTGAAGAACTTGCATGACCATGAAACAATGGAACGACATGCATGTACAAGTTCTTCGTTGGAATACAATTTTCTTTGAAATATCTTGTAGAATACATTCACCATACTCAATAGATCCATAGATTCATCATGTTCGATTTGAGTTTTCAAACATGAATAAATAATATCACTTTGGAGTGCAGCATTCTGTTGAGAGAGAGTACAAAACAATTCATACACTTGCATCACACAATGAAGAGACATGGAAGATTCCGAACACATGAAAATATCATACAAGGTACAATAATCATTGTTGATGATGGATTGAAACTCATTGAAATGACATGTATACATGTAAATGTTGGCTATTGTCTTGAAATCACGTTCTGAAATACTCTCGAGTGATTGGATGGACTGATAACGAGGAGAATTCACAAAAATGGGAGATGATGTCAAATGATACTGGTCAATTAAAAAGTTCTTCACCAGAGTCAAGATATCCTTGTGCGTCGTCGTAATCGTAGATATTTGCTCACTCCAATGCTTGAAAGATATATCGGTAAATTGGTTGAAACTTGTTGTAATGATGCAATGATTCATGCTTGTCATGAACGCTGATGAAAAATTCTCACTAAATAACGTTCTTCCTGGTTCGAATAGGTACATCTTTCTCTTTTTCTTTAACGAGTCCTGACAAGTAGTAGTAGTAGTATCGAGTCGTACGAGAGAGAGTCTATGATCCTCTTCTTCACACATTTGTTTTCTTTTCAATGTTGAATGATTTTCTAAAACTTGAAGGGTCTGTGGATGTTGATGTCCCACGGTAGCTCTAATGTTGTCATGGTCTGATTTATCAATGTGGTTGTGCTCAAGAGAGGAATCCAAGCAGTGTTCTTGAGTGGTCGCCGCACTCCTGACGACGACTCTTGTTGCTTCAAAGACTTCTTGGTCATGACATGCTTCATGAGAAGGCACTTGTCTCAATTGTTCCAACACTGCTTTCACCTTCCTATTCTGAAGTCCAAATAATTGTGAAACATTTACAACTGTTTTCTTTCTTCTATTGTTGGTCGAATGTGGAAGATGTTGTTCAATTTTCTTGGACAATTCACTTTGTGTGAATGCTTCCACGTCAATGGGTGGATCATCACACCGTGCCTTAAATACATAGACAGCATCACCTTCTTGTTGGTATGATGGATTAGATTCAATTTCACAATAAAATTGATAAGACTCGTGCAACCATGATGTACATTTGTAATGAACAGGATATCTAGTGTCGAAATTTAAAAAGTATCCATAATTGGTAATGGTCAGTTTGTCATTGATGACATGGGGTAGAGAGAAAGAAACCTTTCTCTCAGTTGCAACTATGGTTGTTGCTTTGGAATCTTCTGTTGCATTTTGTATTTCATGGTTGGTTTTGGAATCTTCTGTATGACGATTATTGGAAGCTCTTTTGGCGAGTCTCCTTGATCGAACTTCATCTTTGTAAATTAATTTAACTTTCTTTTCTTCTTCTCTAGATATTGATGAATAACACTTGACACAATTGTTAGGAATGTTTCTACTTTCAAGACATCGATAGACGCATGTGAGATGAAATACGTGATCACATTTCTCTAACTTGTAAACTGGAGTGTCATCATAGAGAGGCAATAAACAAATTCCACAATCAGAATTAATATCAACGAAAATGTGATCCTTGATCGTTGCAGAAAAATTGAATTGAACATCGGAAAGTGCTTGTTCTTGTTGAATGGTTTTGGATCCAATATTTTGGTGATTACAAAGCATTGACATGGAATGAACCAAATCATTGGCCATCGTTGTATCATCACGAGTCAATGCATGATCCATTGCTGCGGGCTAGAATGAATCATGAGCAAGTCATGGAAAAAACATTGTGCAGAAGAGGGAAGGAAAGGGTTGAATTCATTTTTTAGAGTGATTCAGAAAGGGGTTGGTGGTTTGGCAGCTGCTGTATCAAGGTATCGTTATGACAACAAATTTTTGATAACGGCCCTGTTGGGGGGATGATCTGAAGAAGATTCGCTTTAAAGCTTTCAAGCAAATTAATATAGTTGAGTAATGAGGAATGCCCCGAAAACTCTTCTTGGGAAGGAGTAATTTCTTCAAATAATTTGAGGGGTCCTTGAAGATCTATTTACGACCACATTAGATTGAATTCGGGCATTGATGATGTACTTACCAAGGTCCTCTGCAAATAGATCGCAAGAATGACTCAAAGTTGGTTCAATTGCTTTCAAGCCTTGATGCAGTTGACCAAACTTCATTGTGGTAGGAGAGCCTCGGTGGATTTGAGACATTTTTTTTGAGCTTTGTCAAAGCCTTTTCTCCCTTAAGGAATTGTTTGTTAGAACCAAATGATTGTACACCTGATAACATTAATGAATTAAATGGATGGTCGTCATTACTACCAATATTTATAAATCAAAGTTTTTTGATATACTTTCGAAATGGTGATGGAATAATATCTTCATATAATTCTTCGTGAGGTTTCTCATCAGCAGTAGTGGAAGAACTAAGTGATGGATCTATATCACAATGAGTATCACCATGAGCATCATCTTGCATGATTCCTTCTTCTCTCTCAAATAAGGATATTGGTGTACGGAGTAGGAATGATTTTTTAAACTCCTCATGCATTTTTTCCTCCAAAGTTTCCACTGACTTCTCCTGTAAATGATAGTGTTGAATTTGTCTTAATAGCATTCCATGAGAATCGGTGAAAGGTGAAGAGTTCTCCTTTCCTGTATCCATGTTAGTATCCATGTGGGGTGTGCTCTCCAATGGGATGGATCGATGGTTCTCAACGAAATCTCTTTCTCTTATCAGCAAGTTGCGTAACTTGTTCTGCAGTTCCTTTTCCTTCTTTTCAAAATATTCGAACCTTTTGTGTATTTCTTGTTGTTTCTCTTTCAATAAATGTATTTCTTGTTTTTTCTCATCCAGCGTGTGATTGACATCCTGTACGATCTTTGAATACATGGTTTCAAATTGCTCACGATGGTATTGATCACAATGGTGTTGGCATTGCCTTAATACATTGTTCACAATCTTTTCATACAATTGGTGTTCATCAATGTGATTCGATGAGAGGAGCGAAATTTTCTCGTTCATATCTTTCTTAAATAATTCCATTAAATTCATCACGTCGCTCATAAAGTTGCTAAACATTGTTAAATCGCTCATTCGTGAGTGATCAGGAATGGTACATGATTCACAATTGTTTGAGAGAGAGGTTGAATCATCTTCATGTGGAGGATTTGAATTCTCATGCTCTTTAACAACTTGCAAGTTGCTCATTCGTTGTAACAAACTGTCTTCCAAATCCCCTACTAACTTCATCACTTGTTGAGAAGATTCAATGTTTCTAATTTCAATGCTTGTCATTCTATTAGTCAACTCTTCATATTTGTGCTGCAATTGCTCACTGAATCTGTGTTCACAATCAGATTTGAGACTTTCAAAGGTGCTCATTGTGGCCATCTGTTGGAACTGTTGCTCCATACTTGTTAATCTGTTTTGAATTTCACAAAACTGTTGTAATGCCGAGTCAGTAGGTTCTTGACTGACTTGATTGGATGTATCGTTGAGTTCAGTTTTCATTTGTGGTTCAATCTCAATAGATATCTCCTCATGGATTGGTATGATACTGTGTACAGAATGATTCTTGTGTGTGTTTGAATCATCAACCATGTTCATGCTGCCATGAGAATGTTCCTTTGTCATTTCTTTTTCATTCATACGAATCGTCATGAAGGATGTGTCATTTCGTTGATGGAATGTGTCTAATAATTGTTTGAATTGCTCCTCTAATGATGATAGTTTACATTGAACATGTTCAAACATTGTCAATCTCGCTTCTTGTTCTTGATGAACGAACTGTTTGATATTGGCCATATTTTCAAAGGAATAACTCTCAAGTGTGTTCATTCGATCAACAAGTTCTCTATGCATTGGATTGGATGTAATCTGTTCAATAATATTGAGAATGTTTTCGTATCGCAGAGTGGTGCTATTAAAAGAGGTTGTATTCGATATGGTATGATTATTCGTTACGATATCGATGATGGTTGGGAGTTTCATCTCATCATGTACCTCCATGCCATCTTTGGGTTGCTGTTGTTGGTTGGAGTTTTCTTCGCGTCCCTCCTGAATGGTCATTTCTGTTTGCTCAGCATGAAAAGATGCTTCACAAGCCAGACTCTCAGGGTGTTCCTTAATGATCGACTCACTTTCAATATGATCTTTTGAATTGAATTTCGTAGATTCATGACAACTAATTTCATGTACCTCTTCGCAGGTTGTTGCCAATGGCAAAGGTTGGAAAATATTTTGAATTGCCGAGTCATGATGCAAGGTCCATAACTCTTTCATCTCCTTCTCCATACGATCCAGTCTCTCAACGAGTGACTGAGAGAAATGTTGCTGTTCTTGAATGGTACTATTCATTTGAATCATTAAATCGTTAAGTCTATTCGTTTGAACAAGATCCATCGATTGTAACTGTTCTTCCAAACGCTTCCAAGTATCTTGTTGTGGTGGAATGCTAGATACTCGATAATTGAATTGTGTTGGAATGATGTTTGGTGCTTTTCTTGTGAATGACAGAACCTGTTGAATGACTGTTGCAGAACGACTCGTCTCTCGTGTTGAATTCACCTCTACTTGAGGAGAACATGTATATTCACTTGTGGAATTCTCATCGATGGATTGTTCGGATCGATTCCACTCAAAATTGTTCTCTTCAAAGAATGTTTTCATGGCAGGATAATCATGGAAATACGTCACACAGCATCGCATACCCCGCTTCTTATTACAGGGTCTTTCATAGGTATTGAATAGACAATAACTTTCATGACCATCATAGAATATGATTATGAATTCAAATATGGATGGAGAGGAGCAAGTGTACGTATCATGATCGTTATTAAGATCTTGAGTTTTGTATGCCTTAACCAACCAACATGTTGGGGTTGATGAATCTTTTCGATCAAAGAGAGCTGATAGATCTGAGAATGAATCATTCAACTTAATCTCATGATCCATTTGTAAGTGAGCTGAATATCGATCACATCTATTCAATATACTACAAATTTGCATAACAAAGGAGTCTTCATCATTTCTGTAATCTTTTAAATGAAACAATTTTCTTGACATTTCAAATATTCCCTCAATACTCGTTTGAGAAATAATTGGTATTCTTTGATATAATAAATTGATTGAAACTTCACAACATAGTACTTGTATCAGTTGTTCCTTCTCTCCATGTGATCGTATGTAATTTGAATCTATATCAGCAACAATGGCACGAACATCTGAACGGTAGTTATTATCTTTGAGAGTGTTTTCAATAGGTTCACTCTCGACCGTTGGTGTTTCATTCGTTTCATTTGATATGTTAGATGAGAGAGGTGTTTTAAGATTCAATTCTTTTTCACCTTTGCTACCACTGCTTGTATTCAACTTGAATGGAGTCTTGTTTTCTTCATGAACAAGATCATACTCCTCATATAGAGAGTAATCGAAATGTGAGTGTTGTTGATGTGGAGGTGTACGTTGAGTAGGAGATCTTCCATAAACGTGAATGCACTTATCTGTTCGTTCTACTCTTCGAATCAATGACGGTGAATTTGTTTTTGAGGATTTCTTGGGTGTTGTTTCAGTAGTAACAATAGTTGTATCTTGTAGTGTCGTTTTGCAAGTTGTTTGGCTTTTACCATGTACTTCAGCATGTTCTAGAATGGATTCATTAATTACTTGTTGTGATTTCTCGTGATTGTCATCTGTTTTGATATCACTCGTTGATGGAACAATAGGTCTGTACTTGATATTGTCTGAGATGAGAATTGGGATGTGATTCTTCTCGTTTGAATCATGCAATGTCATGTCGTTGTCATTCAATAATAGGCGATTGTTGGTATCGTCATTAGAAATGGCTCCGAGAGAGACCACGAGTGATTCAGGAATAGAATTGAGCTTGACATTTTGTTGGGTCACATTTAGAAAGCCATTTAGTAAATCTGGTAGGTGATTCAGTTCGTTTTCAATCATTTGCTGGATCTGAGAAAATATGACCGTCATGGATTGAACATGATTCAAAGTCACAGATTGAACTACTTGTTCCAACATTTCAGGTGATAATTCAATAGAACCCTCAATAAAGTATTGATTCAATATTTCATGTGCTGTTTTCAACTGCGAGCATTTGGATTTCAGGCTCATCGGAGATGTTTCATTATTAAAAGAATGTAGGAATCGATCTAAATCCATCCATAAATCTACTAATTCTTCGCACGAATAGGATGATTGCTTGCAATATTCTCGGAATTGAGAATGATTAAGAATGTCCTTAATGTTCATCCTACTAGATAGTAACACTGAAGTGGTGGTCGAAAAATCATGTCCTTGTTGTGGGGCATGAGAGTGTTGATGATAAGAGTTCTGAGCCGTTGATCATTTAAAAGAGAATAAGGCTACTACTACTCACTTGCTGCCAATACTTACGTGATGTTCCTTCATGGTTTAACTGGTGTACAAATTATGAAAATTTGGGAGGTGTTGTTGATGATCGTCGTTGTGCGTAGTTGAGGAGTGGTGGGTGAGGACAGATCAAACAGCCTTGAGACTCTCTCTCGAACAAAATCCTGAAACTCCAAAGTCTTTGAACAACAACAAACGTTTGAATGGAACACTTTTTTTTTTAAAAATCATTCTCGAGTGAGTGTATACACTTTGAGGGTATATCATAAGAGACGGACGAATTGTATTAAAATCCCAATACCTTCTTGACCTGTGCAAGTAATTGCAATTCTTCAGAACTTTGTAACTGTTTCACACCAGGTGCAGTCGAGAATAGTGTAGAAGGATCTGTAATGAGAGCACGTGCAATTTCTTTCTTTTCCTCATTATTATTGGAATCTTTCATAATTCTATAAATGGTTAATAACATGCGGAATGCAACATCCTTACTCTTCTCATTGGGAAGAAATTCTAACATGGATGACAATAATTGAATCTCTTCATCTGAATTTCGTTGTGGTAAATACAATGATAAATTACATGAGAGTGATGTTGCAGTTAAACGTAAACCTTCCAATTCTGAAGTGAGTGATGTTGAAATCATATCGACCAATCGTGTTAATCGTTGTTGTTGTTGTTGTTGATGTTGTTCAGATCCTCCATTTTCTTCAATAATAAATCGCACAGTGTCTGGAATGCTTGTATTCGATTGATAGTATCGATCAAATAAATTACAATACAATCTCATAACCATTAATTGTGTAGGCATTGAGCAAGTTGAAAATTGTGAGACAAATCTCTCTTCAATGATTTGCATCACATTCTTGTGTGATCCAATGGTAATTTCTTTTGCATATTTTGATGTCAATACAAGTAATCTTAATAAATCTAAAATTGGAAATGCATCACTTTCTTTGGTATGTTTCAATAACTTCTCTAATACAATAAATGTTTGATCTGAAATGAGAGTGGACTTGTCTTGTTGATGTGGTAATTGTAAATATTGTTCTAATTGATTTAATATTCTAGTATCACCATTCATATCATCAACCAATTGAGCATTGGTTGATTTCAATTTGGTCATGACTTGAGGAACATTGGATTTGTTATATCGATAAATTTCAAGTCCATCTTTAAAGAGAGTATTCGTATAACCAGTATTACCACAGTATTACCACCAGTATTACCACCAGTATTACCACCACTCGTTGTTGTAGAAGTAAAAGTAGTAGGAGAAGTGACATTGTTAAACGGACCAAAAGCATTACCCATATTACCCATTTGATTCATCATTTGATTCATCATTTGTGAGACGAGTGGATTATTCATCATTTGAGCCAAATTATTCATAGCACCAGTGCCCAATGGTGAAGGTGGTGGTGGTTGCATCATCATTTCTGCTGGTGGATGTGCACTTCCACCCATCATTTGATCAATCATTGGTTTTACCATTTGACCCAATGGTGTTTGAAAGAATTCACGTGGTAATCCCAATATATCATCAGGAATGGAAGATCCTAATAAAAAGTTAGCACATTCATTCGTAAAGTTATTACAATTATTCTCAAAGAGATTGTATTGATCCATTCGGAATCGAGTTTGTCCAATATTGTGAACATAATCTTCAAAGAGTGATTGATCGATTTGAGTATCACCCAAATGAATGATACGAACTGGTTGTCCATACGGAGTGGTGAGTGGAGTCATTCGTTGAACACCTCCACCAAAAAAGTATTCTTGTTGATAAACGACAATACTTGTGTGCCAAATGCCAGGAAAATGTTTACCAGTAAATTGTTGAGAGAAGGCGGATGCAAGACCCATGGAAAGGTCATAGACATAGAGTTCTACTTTGTGAGTCCTTGACATGATGATGAGAGAAATGGAAATGAATCAGCGTAGATGATGAGAATTGGAAGAGGAGTGGTGGTGGTGGTGGTGGTGTTTAAGAATTCTGATATTAATATTAAAAAGCACAACAATAATGAATCTTTTTTTTTTGATCTTCTTCCGAGTAAAGCCTGAGAGCGTGAAGATTGAGTGTGATGATGGAAGGAATTAAACCTTATTTTTGAGTTGTTGCGCAGTTGAAGCAATTCTTGCGCACATCATCATCATGGTTGTCGACAAATTGAACAAACAGATTGAATATGACCATGATCATTGGTCATCCTCATGGAATTGTGTGTCAATAACCATTCCAATAAGAGATTATAATCGGTCTGGACTCACCCATCGATCCTCACAAGAAAAATGTCGAAACGTTCGTCCAAAGGTGTGAAGAGATTTTCAAAGACAACAACACCTCTCTCGATACCACTCTTGGATTATCCAAGTCATGATGATGACACGACTTTTGATCATAATAACCATCTCAACAACAAGAATTTCCAATCATCATCCTCACCCTCCTCCTATTCTCATCAACACCACCACCACTCCTCTTCCAATTCTCATCATCATCATCATGAACAACAACAACAACAAATAACACAGCAACAACAACAACAATACACCTCTTCCCCATACTCTCACACACTCTCTCATCAAATCATAAAAAGCACATCCATCACCATGTATGAATCTAGTTCGATTCAACACTTTCTTTACATTCTATTGAATATATTGACACTCGGAATGATTCATATCATGTTCAATGAGAGAGTGAAATGTACTTTGAGATTTAAAAAAACCAATCATGTCAAGAATGCTCAATGTGTCTTGATCTTTCATAACAATGAATATACGATATGTCCATTGAAAAAGATTATACTACCAAAGAAGGTGATGCATCACTTTGAATCTTGTCAAGATGGTTCTCCTAATACTAGTACTGGTATGACTGGTACTGGTATGACTGGTACTATACCTAATAATAATAATAATAATAATAATACTAATAATAATATTAACAATACTATGAAAGTATCAACAACACCACAATCACACCCACAACCACACCCACATCAACAACAATTCATTCACTTTCAATATCAATATCAAAGATACATGTATTTACATGAATCTCAACAATTTGCACTCATTGATTCCATTCCACTTTTATATTTATTACATGAATACAAGTCAAAAACAATGCATACAGGTTTAGATTCACATACTCATCTTCAACGATTGTTTTTATTTGGAAATAATTTTATTCACATCACAAGTACTAAATTTATGAAAGTATTTCTGAATGAATTATCGAATATCTTTTATCCTTTCCAATTTATTACTCTATTGTTTTTAATATTTATTCGAGGATATTATTTTTTTAGTGCCATTCATGGCTTGTGTTTATTATTTTCATTCGTGTGTGCAATTAAAGTACATCCACATCGAAGTATTACTAAAAAAGTAAAAAAAGAATTATCTTTATCCTATGAATATACAAGTGAAATTAGAGTATTGAGAGATTCACAAATATACATGGTTGGAACATCAAATCTAGTACCAGGTGATATTATTATATTGAATAATGTTACAACAGTACCATGTGATTGTATTTTATTATCAGCACCGAAACGAATGTTATTATGTGATGAATCAACATTGACAGGAGATACTGAACTCTCACACAAGATACCACTCGATGTTGTTGATATTGTTGCAGAAAGAAATCTTTCAAAGAACCATCTCCATTCAACAAGAAATTCCATGAATCATCATCTCCATTCAACAAGAAATTCCATGAATCATCATGATTCAACAACAGAAAGAAATGATATGAATCATCATTATTCAACTAGTAGTAGTAATCACTCTATTGATCAATATCATGTATTGATTGGAGGTACACGAATTGTCAGAGAGCAACAACAACAACAAGACACGAATGGAATGGTATCATTCGATGAATCTACACGAACAACATGCTCAATTAAGGCACTTGTCATTCGAACAGGTTTTCATACAGTGAAAGGATCCATCATTAGAAATATTCTACTAGATGCTGAAAATCAGCATAGTCATCAGTTATATGGTGGTAGTGGTAGTGCTGCTGCTTCTGACACTCACAACCATACCTCTACATCATCATCACACTATTATTTCAACAATGCTCAAAATAATCAACAACATTTGAATCCTCTCAATACTCACACTTTGAAATCTAAAAAAAGAATTAATAATTACATGAATGATTTATACTATCTCATCTATACTCTAGTAGCACTTGCTTTTATTTCTCTCATCATTCTATCGTTATATTTTGGTACATTGTCCTATCATAATTATGCAAATATTTTCAATAACATTGATGAAAAGTCATTTAATTTATTTTTAGAAAGTAGTGAAGATTCATCATTTATTGGTTACATTTCCATTGTATTTATTTTTATTAATAGTGTTCCACCTTATTTAATATTTATTGTAGTGACATTACCAATGATATTAACCAATCGATTGTTATTTAAAAAACATATCAAATCTATTCAAAGTATTGATAGTAGTTTATTTAAATTTGGTTTAATTGATTTGATATGTTATGATAAGACTGGTACTTTATGTGAATCGAACATGTCCTTATTTGGAATAGTGACATGTCATGATTTATTACATCCAACCACTGATCTTGTAAATTTGAGTGAAGATGTTACCAATTTATTAGCTTCATGTCATAATTTATATTCGAAATATGATAAGGATACGAATAGTCAAGTCTTGATTGGTGATACCATTGATCAAGCCTTATTAGAATTTACAAGTTATGAATTGAAAACATGTTCATCCTTGAGTCAAGTCATGATGACTCAAGGGTTCAATCTCATTCCACCTGCTCAATTCCGTGAAAGAGGTTCCATTCATATTTCTAAAAATTATCCCTTTTCTTCAACACTTAAAAGACAATCTGTACTCATGACCTTTCCTAAAATGGTAGTCTATTCGAAGGGTAGTCCATCGAGTATCAAATCCATATGTTCTCATCATACTCTACCTCCTAATTATGATCAAATTGTACAATATTATGGATTACAAGGATTTAAAATATTGGCAATGGCCATGAAGAATATTTCCAATCCTTATATGGAATCATCATCTCTGAGACGTTTCTCTTCACCACCATTACAACAAGAACCATTACAACAGCAACCACCATTACAACAGCAACTACAGCAACAACAACCACCACCACAACAACAAGAACCATTACAACAACAACAACAACCATCATCATCACTGAATACTTTAAACTCTTCCACGAGTCTTGATCAAAGAGAAGATGTTGAAAATCAAATGACATTTCTTGGATTTATTTTATTACAAAATCGAATGTATCCTCACGTTAAGAATGAAATTAAACATTTAGAGAGTGTGAATCAAGTGAAAACTAAAATGATCACTGGTGATAATATTTACTCGAGTATTTATAGTGCCATGGAATGTGGAATGATTGATAGTGATACAGAACAAGTATATTGTGCATTTTATGAAAATCATACGATTGAATGGAAGAGTGTGAATGTGGTTCAATTATCGAAACGGAATTCTTCAATGAGTTTAATGAATCATACACGAATGAGTGAGCATTCTACTACATTGGATAGTAATACTAGTAATGGTCATAATAATCATGGTTTTGGTAATAATAGTAATACTAATAATAATAGTAATACTAATAATCATCATGGTTTTGGTAATAATAATAATCATGACAATGAGAATGGTAATCATACTCATGAAAACAACAACACTCCCAACACATTCATGAATGACATTTTTACTCATAATGACTCGATGGATCCTTTCATTTCACCTGTTCCTCTTCCTCCTCAGTGTGGAGGTAGTGATCATGATGATGATGATGAATATGATCTCTCATCCAGTCATCATAAGAGATCTTTTAAAAATTTATTACTTAATAGTGTGAGTATGGCTCATTCCAATCCTGAAAAGAAGATTGCACTTGCAATGACTGGTGAAGCATTTCAATATTTGAGAAGTCAATTATTATCTAATTCATATCATTCATTCTCTGAATTATTACCATTCTATTCTCAATTACTGTGTCTATGTCATATTTATACAGAAATGTCACCTAATCAAAAAGGATATCTTGTGAGTGATTTTAAGAATTATTTAGATCATATTGTGTGTATGATTGGAGATGGAAGTAATGATTCAATAGCTATGAATTGCAGTGATGCATCTATATTTATTTCAAAAACTAGTAAGGGTGATGATCATACTAGTAATAATTATTATAATAGTAGTAATAGTAGTAATAATAATAATAATTATTATAGTAATAGTAATAGTCATCATAAGGGTCATGAAGTACCTCAGAAAAAACGACCAAGACAAGGAAATTCCAATGAACATTCCTATGCTGCACAATTTACAGTACCATTAGAAGATATTTTGAAGAGTTCTATGGAATCCACCACTCCAATCAAAACCTCTTCCTCATTACGAAAGAAGAAATTCTCTGAAAAAAACATGACGAAAGAAGTAGACCATCATCAGGAAGATTCCATGGAACACTTCGACAATTCTAGAATGAATCCCATATCTCATTCGAATCACTCCTATGTCCAATTGGATCATCATCACTCGACCACAACGTCAACATCCATCTCGCCTCGACATTTGAATAACATTACCACACATCTCATTGCCATCGCACAATTAATGCTTGACAAGATTCATATCAATAGCAAATTCATTCTCGTATTCATTTATTTACAATTTATTATAACATGTCATGATGTGATTATTTACGGTTATGATATGAGTGAAAGTATGACCATATATACTCATATATTCAAAGGCTTGTTATTACCAATTTTATTATCATTGAATCCAGTAGTCTCTGATTGTGAGAGTAATATCAAATATAGACCATCCAAATCCATCATTAGATTTCAATTACTATTTACAGTATCTTTACAAATACTCTATCAATCTATTGTATTTTTTATAGTCATATTTGTATTACACTCACCTTATATACAAATGCAACAATCATTAATATTTCAATTCTCCAACTTCCAATATATGAGTGTTGCCATGTCCTATCAATTGACTTACTATTTTAGAACAAGTTCATTATTTTCCTCAATTAAGAAATCATTTAGAAATTATACATTTTGGATGATTTGGTGTCTTTTATTCATTTTGGATTTTATTATTTTAACTCCATTCCCTGCATCATTTTCCTTTGAAAATTATATCAAGATGTTATTTAAACTTACGAATTTATTTGTCGATGATGTTGCTAACAATGAAGCCTATGTTCGAACTGGAGGTCGTGATTATGTGTACACAGATCAGAGAGACATTGAAAAATCATATTATATGATTCTCAAACTCGTAATTTTGGGAGTCATGTTCGTGAATATATTTGCCACTGCATTGATTGAATGTTGTACAACATGGGCATACAAATTTTACAAACATTTGACATTCTCAAATCCTTCTCCTAATAGTGGAATGACATGGAAACGATGTGTCGATTTATTTAAGAGTCAAGAATACAGCAATCAACAACATCCATCATCAAGTTCATCCACTATGATCATAATACCATACTTGACAAGGAATTTCAAGGAAGAATAAATATGATCTGAGATTCTTTTAATGAAAATCCAGTGGTTGGTTTTTCTAATATTTTCACACGAGAATTCTCTCATGAATCAACAAGTAATTGATTCTTGTTTGGAACGGGCTGATAAAATTGATGAATATTTAAATGACAGCCCTTTCAGGCAAAGTTACTCCATTCCCTTTTAGTTGGGCCTATCTTGTGCAATATAGGAGTTTTGAGCACCAAGAGCTTTGTTGGAAATCAAGACGTCGCAAAACAAGTATTATTTCATACATTAAGAAGACTTTCTGTTTTATTTTCAGGTACCTTTGCAAAAACCTTTCATTGAGCTAATCAACTTCGGATAACATTACAAGCCCAGCAATGATAAAACAAAAGCCAGTCAAGGGAATATTGTATGATTATTCGTAATTTTTTGATATTTCTAAAAGTAATATTTCCAAAAAACAATAACAGTGTTCTGATGCCATTAATATATGTTATGTGAAGTTTTATCACAATGACTTTCTTCTAAATCGAAAATTGCTGCATAATGTAAGTAATTATACCGTGAAGTTTGGTGTTAGATGTAATGGAGCAAAACTGGGGATATAATATCTACTATTAATAGGTATAACTTAAGATGGTGGTGCTAACTACGCTTGTTTACTAGTTTACAGATATATTACAGCAGCGTTGACTTTATACAACACTTGGAAAGACACCTTGAGCAAAGGTATGCTATTTTCGGAATAACTCAGATTACCAATCGTTAACATCAATTAGTTACTTTTGTCCTTCTTCGGAAATCCCAACTCCTCAAGATGAAAAGTAATACCTGTTTGAATGTTCTGAAAAGAACGGAAGTGTTTTGTAACGAAAACAATAAGGTTGACTAAAAGTATGGCTAAAAAATGTCAACAAATCCACAACCAAAACAGCTCTCTAAAGAGCAAACTAATACCACTACTGCAGCTTCCCAACAGTCTGGCACCACAACAACAACTCAACATAGAGAACCACAAGCAACACACTCAGTACCACCAGATTGGGCACAGATATGGATGGCCCAACAAGAAACAATGATGAATAAACTTTCTGAAATTGTTCATTCATTGACACCTACTGCTGCTTCCTCCAACGTTGGTAGTAGTGCTCAACATGCTGCAGAAGCTCAAGCAAAAACCAATTCAAGAAATGATGACGATGATAACAAAGTCGTCTATCATAAGAAACCAGGTCCTTTTAGAGATTCCTCACAACACTCCTCTCGCGACGAAGACTCTACTACTGATGAAGATGAATTCGTTGAAGAATCTGATCGTGTTACCAGTGGTACTACTCCCAAAGATAACCTTCCAAACTTTCAAGAAATAGATCTTGGTGATATCGAAGATGTGCGAATGTATCTGAAGAAGAAAGGAATTAAGAACCTTCGGTCAAAAGATCCTATTGAAATTGAAGAACTCTTCAGAGCAGAGAGATTGAAGGATTTGGAACACTCCTCCAGTAAAAGCTTTCAAACACGAATGAAAGCACTACTCTCAAAATATAATTATATTTTGAAAGAACAACATATCAGTGAGCTCCTCAACGAGAACGATAAGAGAATTGTATCAAAAAGTTTACCTATTATCATTCAAATCAACAACATCATTTGTAAGCTTTCTCGTCATGTAACCTCCAACATTCACACAGGAGAGAATATCGAAGTGAATGAACTCATTTCAATGCTATCTATTTTTATGAACACTGCGATCACGGGTGGATTAGACACCAACTTTGAAACCATGGAGAATGTTTCACGTCGGATGATCACTCCTTCATCCAACTATGACCTTCTTTCCCCAATAATCAAGAAGGAATCAGAAAGAATTCTCACAAACAAGCTACACAAAGAAGTCTCTAACAAGTCCATCTCCAAGCCTACCAAGATGAGAAACAACAACAACTACTACAAGAGAAACAATCGAAATTTCAGGTACGGCAATAACAACAATGACCATCACGAAGACTTTCAAAAGTCCACCTTCAACAATAACAACAACAACAACAATTACGCCTCCAACTTCAATAACAACAACAAATCCAGTCGAAAATTCTGACTTGAAAGGGG